AAGTCGGAGTGAATCTGCCTTAGAGGCGCCGAACTGAAACTCTGCATACAAATAAGCCAGATCTGTAAAACGGATGTGCACGCTAGCTCGTTAGGAAACAAGGCTACAGTTCAGAAGTGGGCGAACAATCAGAACTTTCCGCCAAAGTTTACATACAGTGATCGCAATATTATAATGGTAGTAGTAGTATTAGCAGCAGCGGTAGTATTAGTGGTGTTGGTGGTAGCAGTAGTAGTAGTGGTGGTGGCAGCAGTAGTGGTAGTAGCAGTAGTGGTAGTGGTAGTTACTAGTCGTAGCAGCAGTAGTAGGAGCAGTGGTAGTAGCAGTAGTAGTAGTAGTAGCGGTAGTAGTAGTAGTTACTAGTCGTGGCAGCAGTTGTAGTGGTGGTAGCAGTAGTGGTAGTAGTAGTAGGGGTGGTGGTAGCAGTAGTGATAGTAGTAGTAGGGGTGGTGGTAGTAGTAGTGATGGTGGTAGTAGTGATTGTAGTAGTAATTACTAGTTGTAGCAGCAGCAGCAGTAGTAGTAACAGTAGTAGTAGAAGAAAAAAGAGAACGGAGTAAAATAACAGGAACATGGGACAGAAGTTAGGCAAGGTATGCCGCATACAGATTTTCAATAAATGTATTACTTGTAGTTAAAGAGTGGGTTTGGTGGGTGGGGGGGGGGGGGGGGTTAATGAATATCGAAAACTGTGGGGTACAAATCGACCTGGTGTACAAGTCGACTTCAAGAATTTTACCTCAAAATTCTGAGTCAAGCCTTTACCCACTTAAAACATTTGATAAATAATAAATAAATCCAACCCAAAAATTCTAGAAAATGTGTTTAAAGCTTGAAAACTCAACTTTTTAAGCTGCAATTTAAAGAAAGAAAAAAAAAAGTCATTTTTATATTGGGGCCTATATACTAGGGTCAGTGGCAATCCTAGGTCAAGTGGTACCCAGTGCAGAAAATATTGTCACCACAGCCACACACTTTTTTTTTCCAATGTTAAAAACTCATATTTTGGCCATTTTATCACACTTCTCAGTGATGTCACCCAGTGTGACAAGCACTCTGGCCCACCCCACACCCCTTCCTACGCCATTGTTCAGGACTGCCATATTTTGATCTTTCGAATTTAGTTTTACAAGTGAAATCGATGAGACTGAATCCAGACCGTGACTAAACGTCTCTTCGGTCCATTGGCTATGTATAGTGTTTTCAGTTTCGTGAAAAATGCTTTTTTTCCCCCATGAATAGTCTGCATAACCTGGGTGTTCCAACTGGAGCAGCGAGACGAGAAAACCGTGCTGGAGCCACCTGTTGTTACATCAGCCAGAACAGAATTGGAGTTTTTGGCCTAAAAAACACTTAGAGACACACTCGGGGGGAGATCAGGAGACATACTCGGGGGGAGATCAGGAGACATACTCAGGAGGAGATCAGGAGACACACTCAGGAGGAGATCAGGAGACATACTCAGGAGGAGATCAGGAGACATACTCAGGAGGAGATCAGGAGACATACTCAGGAGGAGATCAGGAGACATACTCAGGAGGAGATCAGGAGACATACTCAGGGGGAGATCAGGAGGAGATCAGGAGACATACTCAGGAGGAGATCAGGAGACATACTCAGGAGGAGATCAGGAGACACACTCAGGGGGAGATCAGGAGACATACTCAGGAGGAGATCAGGAGACATACCCAGGAGGAGATCAGGAGACATACTCAGGGGGAGATCAGGAGACATACTCAGGAGGAGATCAGGAGACATACCCAGGAGGAGATCAGGAGACATACTCAGGAGGAGATCAGGAGACACACTCAGGAGGAGATCAGGAGACATACTCAGGAGGAGATCAGGAGACATACTCAGGGGGAGATCAGGAGACATACTCAGGAGGAGATCAGGAGACATACTCAGGGGGAGATCAGGAGACATACTCAGGAGGAGATCAGGAGACATACTCAGGAGGAGATCAGGAGACATACTCAGGAGGAGATCAGGAGACATACTCAGGGGGAGATCAGGAGACATACTCAGGAGGAGACCAGGAGACATACTCAGGGGGAGATCAGGAGACATACTCAGGGGGAGATCAGGAGACATACTCAGGAGGAGATCAGGAGACACACTCAGGGGGAGATCAGGAGACATACTCAGGGGGAGATCAGGAGACATACTCAGGAGGAGATCAGGAGACACACTCAGGAGGAGATCAGGAGACATACTCAGGGGGAGATCAGGAGACATACTCAGGGGGAGATCAGGAGACACACTCAGGAGGAAGATCAGGAGACATACTCAGGAGATCAGGAGACATACTCAGGAGGAGATCAGGAGACATACCCAGGAGGAGATCAAGAGACATACTCAGGGGGAGATCAGGAGACATACTCAGGAGGAGATCAGGAGACATACTCAGGGGGAGATCAGGAGACATACTCAGGAGGAGATCAGGAGACATACTCAGGAGGAGATCAGGAGACATACTCAGGAGGAGATCAGGAGACATACCCAGGAGGAGATCAGGAGACATACTCAGGGGGAGATCAGGAGACATACTCAGGAGGAGATCAGGAGACATACTCAGGAGGAGATCAGGAGACATACTCAGGAGGAGATCAGGAGACATACTCAGGAGGAGATCAGGAGACACACTCAGGAGGAGATCAGGAGACACACTCAGGGGGAGATCAGGAGACACACTCAGGGGGAGATCAGGAGACATACTCAGGAGGAGATCAGGAGACAAACTCAGGAGGAGATCAGGAGATATACTCAGGAGGAGATCAGGAGACAAACTCAGGAAGAGATCAGGAGACATACTCAGGGGGAGATCAGGAGACATACTCAGGAGATCAGGAGATATACCCAGGAGGAGATCAGGAGACACAGGAGGAGATCAGGAGACATACTCAGGGGGAGATCAGGAGACATACTCAGGAGGAGATCAGGAGACATACTCAGGAGGAGATCAGGAGACACACTCGGGAGGAGATCAGGAGACATACTCAGGGGGAGATCAGGAGACATACTCAGGAGGAGATCAGGAGACATACTCAGGGGGAGATCAGGAGACACACTCAGGGGGAGATCAGGAGACATACTCAGGGGGAGATCAGGAGACATACTCAGGAGGAGATCAGGAGACATACTCAGGAGATCAGGAGACATACTCAGGAGATCAGGAGACATACTCAGGAGATCAGGAGACATACTCAGGAGGAGATCAGGAGACATACTCAGGAGATCAGGAGACATACTCAGGAGGAGATCAGGAGACATACTCAGGAGGAGATCAGGAGACACACTCAGGAGGAGATCAGGAGACACACTCGGGGGGAGATCAGGAGACACACTCAGGATGGAGATCCGAGCACTTATGGTCATGTCCGATGAAGATGAGCTCAAAAGTGAACAATAGACAATACAGAAAATAGTCTGCTCGAAGTTTTACCACACTGAGACTAACCAAACTCAGTCAGGACGGCAGGCCAACAGGGAGATCCAAGATACCCCATTCAACCTTCAAAGAAGTTATAAGGTAGGTACCCGTAACAGCTGCTGCAGCCTGATGTAACCCTGCATTTTTGTGAGGATAAGGACAATCTATACAATGCATACCTGATAAGAAGAACTCACCTGAAAAACCCAGAAATAGTTCTTCTTAAGATATATTTCTTTTATCCTGATAAGAGTTTGAGCAAGACAAATTGCAGGAGATAAACAAATTGTTCTTCATAAGAGGAATTTCCAGACATCCGGGATCGCCTTAAGCGGTCTTCACTGTAAATGGAGCCACAGATATTCTGTTTAACAGTGCTTTTTCCTGGGGTGGGGGGGGGGGGGTGGGATACTAACCACCAAGTATTTACAAGTGGCGCCGATACTCACCATCAAGTCTTTACAAATGGCGCATATACTCACCACAAAATATTCATTACAGTAGCGCTGGAAAAAAACAATGATCTTACTGTATACCGTTGAGTACTGCCAGAAAGAAAGACCATGGAGCTGAGGGTTTAGTACAGTTTAATCAGAGGCCAAAATGCTGAAAAATGAGGATTGTATCAGGCCAGAGGCGCGAGCCCGGCATAGAAAGGCCACTTGCTAGATCTCTGCATGTGGGATTTGGCCCACGGTGGGTCGGCCAACTAAATAGCTGTAGTCATGTAAGTTAAAAAGGACAAATCCTGAAGACCACGCTAGAAGTTCAAAGTCAAATGGCAAAAGAGGTTGATTCAATGGAAGATTTTAAATCCAAAAAAAAAAAAAAATACAATATCGTGGATATGGAACCTCCCAAACCAGACAGAAAAACTAAAGACACCCAAACGCAAAAGTCAAGACCAGATAAGAGAGGCAGAGCAGTTGTACCAAAAAAAACAATGAAAGAGCTAGTGAAACATCAATGGCTTTAGAAATATTGGACGAGGAGAAACAGGTTATATCAAGCGGCGAAGTACAAAAGAACACACCAGGTCCAGAAGAAAACATTTCAAGCAAGTACAAGGATGACGGCCTAGAACGTCTCCTATGACGAAAGAGACAAAGACGACACACTGACAACGTTGACGAAGCCTGGTCAAGATGGTGATAGCAAATGAGAACCTAATGGCAGAATGACAGCGATAACAACTACTAAACAACATGAATAACTGGTATAGCAATATCACCATGGTTCAGGAGACAGTCCAATCAATGGCAGTAACGCCACCAACGGATGGCACAATAAGAAAACACATAACCTAATCATAACAAAGCCTGCACAATGAGACGGACACTACCTGGTCAGCCAGATATACACGGAAGACATAAAATACTAGCAACAAACACTAGGCAATGGAAATAGAAATACAATTTGTTGCCATAATTATAACCGATATTGACAAGGACGAGGCTAGCTCCCGGGTCAGAGGCTTAGCGTGGCTAACTGACATTAAACGAAAAATTAATGTATTATCATGGATGGCAGAAATTGACGATACATGTGTGTGTATGCGTATCTGCAGTAATGACGTGCAGTACAAGTCCCCTACAAGAGGACTCCGACCCCTTGGTGTGTCCCCACGGCTACGAGTGCAGCATTGATGACGACAGCAGATCAGCACAGGAAGTTCCCAACAGAGGTCACTGTGTCAAGGTAGCCGATGACACCGCAGATGGTAAGTAAAACTGGTCCTGTTCACGTTTCCCAGCCCATCTACACACTGGCTGACCTTTCATTCATACTTTCTCAGACTGTTCTACGTCTGAGGAGGGTCACGTTGTCTTACCTCCAATTACATCAGCGCCGATGTCGCTTGTTCTATACTACATAATGACACAGCTTTCAACGTCATCAGAACATCTAGAACTGGCCCTAACCCCAACACCCTACCCACAGCCCGAGCCTAGGTCCCACAAAAGACCCTTTTTGAAGAAAACAGTACAACGTGACACCCCTCTGACCTAGATCAGACTGAGAAAGTGTGTAGATGGACCGGGAAACATGAACACGACTGTAAAACATGAGAACGAAAAACAGAATCTCTAGCTGGCTTTTTGTTCTTTTCTTGAAATATCTTATATTGCTATCAGTGTTTTCATACAGCTCTGGTATATCTGAACATATTCTGCTGTCTGGGACACCTCAAAAGGATCTGTTATCTTGTATAATTTTATGTACATATATGTATGTATGTATATGAAATATCGGTTCTTTTTACGCAGTCTGGCCCAACTACACGCTGGTTGACCTTTCGTTCATACTTTTTCAGGCTTTCTATGTTAGAAGAGTGTCACGTTGTAATGTCGCTGGTGCTATCACCGCCAGTGACGCGTGTACTTTATTACAGGATGTGACCGCTTTTCACGACCCTATATCTAGAACTGGCACTAACCCCCCCCCCCCCCCCCCCCCCCCCCCCCCGTTTTTGTCCCGCAAGAGAGTGCAGTGTACGACCCATGGAAGCAACCCTTTTCTGCTTGTCACTTGTCAATGCTAACAGCTCAAGTGAATTCATGTCGTACTTCAAGTCTGAAAATGCTATAATATACGCAATGACGCTGGCTGCTGCTTATAACCAGTAATCAATGTATATGCGTGTGTATATATATATATATATATATATATATATATATATATATATATATATATATATATATATATATATATATATATATATATATATATATATATATATAGTCTATCAAGCTGTGTCCCCCTCCCCCTGTGTGGGTTCCAGGGCCTCACGGTGGGGGAAAACAAAAACAGACCCACTGTTTCCCTAAAAAGCATGTCGTAGGGTGGGACTCGACTAATTAGGGGGTTCCATGCCAATTCTTTATTCATTCAAAGTCCGAGCGCATCTGCCCGAGAGGCAAGGAACCAAGAGTTTGCATCAAGTTAGGGTAAGGCATTACTATAATCTCATGTTTAGAACAAGCCGCATTACCATAAAGTCATGTTCAGATAGCAAGGCATTACCATAACATCATGTTCAGATAGCAAGACATTACCATAATGTCATGTTGTTCAGATAGCAAGACATTACCATAATGTCATGTTCAGATAGCAAGACATTACCATAATGTCATGTTCAGATAGCAAGACATTACCATAATGTCATGTTCAGATAGCAAGGCATTACCATAACGTCATGTTCAGACGTCAAGGCATTACCATAACGTCATGTTTAGACATCAAGACATTACCATAATCTCATGTTCAGACAAGGCATTACTATAATCTCATGTTCAGACAAGACATTACTATAATCTCATGTTCAGACAAGGCATTACTATAATCTCATGTTCAGACAAGGCATTACCATAATCTCATGTTCAGACAAGACATTACCATAATCTCATGTTCAGACAAGGCATTACCATAATCTCATGTTCAGACAAGGCATTACCATAATCTCATGTTTAGAACAAGGCATTACTATAATCTCATGTTTAGAACAAGGCATTACTATAATCTCATGTTTAGAACAAGGCATTACCATAATGTCATGTTTAGACATCAAGACATTACCATAATCTCATGTTCAGACAAGGCATTACTATAATCTCATGTTTAGAACAAGGCATTACCATAATGTCATGTTCAGATAGCAAGGCATTACCATAACATCATGTTCAGATAGCAAGACATTACCATTATGTCATGTTCAGATAGCAAGACATTACCATAATGTCATGTTCAGATAGCAAGACATTACCATAATGTCATGTTCAGATAGCAAGACATTACCATAATGTCATGTTCAGATAGCAAGGCATTACCATAATGTCATGTTCAGATAGCAAGACATTACCATAATGTCATGTTTAGAACGAGGCATTACTATAATGTCATGTTCAGATAGCAAGGCATTACCATAATGTCATGTTCAGATAGCAAGACATTACCATAATGTCATGTTTAGATAGCAAGGCATTACTATAATGTCATGTTCAGATAGCAAGGCATTACCATAATGACATGTTCATGGATCAAGGGTGTAGTGTTCACTACTGTGTCAGTAAGCGTCACTGACATTCTGTTTAGTCCTAGCTTTATGGGATAATGCTCCCAACTCTCTGTTTACTATTGTATCAATAAAAGTGATGTATACAAAAACCCAGTAATAGCCCAAAGTATTTATTGGTCAACTCCTGTGAAATGTTCAAGAGTCCAGCAACTGTGTGCAGAACAAACTCCAGGGTTACATTGGGCTGAAAGGTGCAGATATCACAGCTAAGCTGTAAACCACAACACAATGTGTCAACCACCCTTTAAGGGAGAACACATAAGAACTAAACAAAATTGCTGGTTTCAGTGTGTAATATCATCATGTAGCAGGTCCTTTGCAGAACGCCGCTCTCATCACAGTCTGCCTGAAAGAAACTCGGTCTCTCGCCAGTTCTCCCACCTCATGTACTTTCATACTCAAGGAGTCACTTATATCCTGTGCCCATCTTCGTGTCGGTCGGCCTCTGCCCCTCCTTCCTGGTACTATGCCTTCTGCTAGAAGTTTTTCCAATCTGTCGTGGCGCTTGCTATGACCAAAATATTTCAGCTTCAAAGACAGGATGCTGTTTATTAGCCAATCTTCCTTGATGTTTAGATCTTTCAAGATGTCAGTATTTCTCCTCTTCTTTGTCCAAGTTATTCTGAGAATCTTTCTATAGCATTTCAGCTCAAAAGCCCATATTCTCTTTCTCTTTCTTAAGGACTGGAAGATAGTCCACGACTCACATCCGTATGTAGCCACAGGGAAGACGCATGCTCTCAAAATTCTAATTTTGATTTCCTTGCTGGTGTTTAACAATAGACTTTTAAGGCTGTTCAATCTTTGCATTGCTATGGCCATCCTCCTTTTAATTTCTGTCAAACAGTCTCCATTGCTGTTTATTACAGAGCCTAGGTATTCAAAGTTTGAGACATTTTCAATTTCTTCATCATTTATTGTTTTTTTTGGGTGACAGCCAGTTTTATCTGTGGACATTATTTTCGTTTTCTTTAAATTCAAGAACAGATTTTGATTTGTAATATCAGGCAAAGGATATGAAACTAACATTTAACGATCTCATGACAGTCATATTTTTTCCACTTTTTGCAGCCAGTGTGAGGAGACCATACTTGTATGTGACGACACACCAGCCACGCCAAGTTTGTGACCAGACCACCTACCTGGCATGTGACGAGAAATTTTATAAGATTAAACTAATTGTTTCCCATGCGAGTTGCCACTAGAGACTGTTGTGTTTGTGTTAGCTGTGATAGGCAGGTCTACAAGATTCCACTGTGATTGTTTGTTACCCCTAAGAACTAGGGAGTCGCCATGGCCGAGCGGCTAGACGCTCGTCGCGGATCGGAAGGTCGTGGGTTCACTCCCTGGCGGAGCCGGACTTTAATAAAAAATGACCTTGGCTCCTAGGTCGACCCAGCCTTGAGTGGGTACCGGATGTAGTCCTGGGAAAGTAAAGGCGGCTGGCGTGATGCTGACCACATCACCCATCTTGTGCCGTTGGTCTATATAAATATAGGTCTAGCCCTATATGCCTAGAGGCGTGGAAAAGGGTCCTTTACTTTTTTTTTACTTACCTAAGAACTGTTGTGTTGGTGTCAGACAGGTCTACAAGATTCCACTGTGATTGTTAGTTACCCCTAAAAACTGTTGTGTTGGTGTCAGACAGGTATACAAGATTCCACTGTGATTGCTAGTTACCCCTAAGAACTGTTGTGTTGGTGTCAGACAGGTCTACAAGATTCCACTGTGATTGTTAGTTACCCCTAAGAACTGTTGTGTTGGTGTCAGACAGGTCTACAAGATTCCACTGTGATTGCTAGTTACCCCTAGAGTAATTTTCCGAGTGTCAAATGGATTGAGGAAACAAGGGCATCCAAAAGAAATTCTACAACGAACATTGTTCAGAGACCAGCGATGCTGGATTGGATTGCATCCATGTTATGGATGAACTGCATAGGATGGAACAGACTTCAAGGTGTAAATGATATATAACATTGCAACTGGGTGATCTGATGCCTAAAATCTCACGCTCCACTAAAAGATGAGAAACAGCAGCAGCAGAAGTGAAATCAGCCATATTATAATACCATCACACCTGTGCCAAACTGACACAAGACTAACAGCTCATGGCCTGCGAAATATCAGCACATCTATCTTAGCAAACAAACACTGACAGCTCAAAGCTCAAGAGACAACATGCCACAGTAAATAGAAGAACCCACAGAACACAATCATTCTGTGCTTGGTACTTAAATGTAATCAACATTAACAACCACTGGACACTGCATGTTGAGAAGATATAAATCACACTCCCTAAACATGCTCTCACTTCTGATAACCGCACATGTGGACTTAATCCCACATCTTTATGTCACTGAAAATCTCAATAACTCACACATTATTCATTCACACACATACATGCAGTTTTTTGTTTTTTTTGTTTTAATTTAAAAAAGGTGCTGGTACTCACAGATTGTCTTTAAAAAGAAAAAACAGGTGACTGTACCAAAGTGTGCTGAAAATGCGTTTAAAAACAGAAAGGTGCTGGTACTGCGTCACTTATGCAACACACTTGAAAAAGCACAGAAGATTCTCACATTTCCCCCAACACTTTGATAAGTGGGCAAAGAAAAGATGAATTATTCATGACTACACCGATTTTGTTTTCTCTCTCCTCCCCTCTCCTCCCAGCCAGCCCTTTGATATTAATCCTCCTTTCATCTGAAAGCTCACATATCCCTCTAAAAAACTTTATTTTTAACCCCACTCCCCAATTTACAACATATCCATTTCGCTGATAATGAATTTCTACTGGTAGCCAGTACAGGTTGGCGTCTGTGGCTTAGGCGTTGCGAATGCACTTCGTAATGTCAAGGTGCTAGGTTTGACCCCAGCTGCGGATGATTTGTCTTGTGTTGGTTTCAATAGTGGTACCGAAAGCTGACCGTTCAGAAGGAAATGGCAAACTACTGAAAGTAAGATATGCTTATAAAAACAATAACAGCCAAAAAAAAAAAAAAAAAAAAATGCTAGGGTTGGTTCTGCAACGTCCTGTAGAGGATACGCAAATTTGCTAGTACAGAAATAGATAAACTTGACCTAAACAACTGGCATGATAGCACATACATAATTATCTTTACAGCTACCACCACAGTCTCCCATCAAATATACAACTTCAACAATCTGCCATCACTTACATCTACAACAATCTACACAACCACTCGTGAGATATACAACTTCAACAATCTGCCATCACTTACATCTACAACAATCTACACAACCACTCGTGAGATATACAACTTCAACAATCTGCCATCACTTACATCTACAACAATCTACACAACCACTCGTGAGATATACAACTTCAACAATCTGCCATCACTTACATCTACAACAATCTACACAACCACTCGTGAGATATACAACTTCAACAATCTGCCATCACTTACATCTACAACAATCTACACAACCACTCGTGAGATATACAACTTCAACAATTCACACCACATCCTATACGATAAACAATTTCAACAACCTACAGCCACCCAACCCAGGAGATCTACAACCTCAACCACCCACATTATATCCTGCAATAGAAAAGCTGACTAGAAGCCCTGACTAGGTTGGATGAACGTCAGCTTCAATGGTCAAGCCCTCCTCCAGTTTGCCAATGTCCTTCTTCATCCTGGCGATGGCATCCTTGGATTTCTTGAGTTTCTCATTGAGCTGGTCGATCTCACAGCGGATCTTGCTGTGAGCATTGAGGATTTTGTTCTGTGTCCGCTCCCTTTTCTCTTCAACTGAAAGACAATGATAAAATATAAGCCCACTGACTGAGCACACATATAAATACAGTGCAGACCTGATATGGAAAACTCACAGACCCCTAAGCAATAGTTCTTCTTATCAGAATTTCCTCTTATTCAGATAAGAGTTCAAGCAAGAGACATTGGGGATAAACAAACTGTTCTTCACCACAGAAATCTGCCAGATCCGAGACACCTTAAGTGGTCTGCACTGTACTGACATTCACAGAAAACTGAAGTCAACTGCACAGACAGAAATTACAATTGTGCAATAGACATGTTTATTCGTTTTAGAGTCTTTCTTCTTCTTGCTCATTGGATGTAAACTCATGCAGACAGTTCTGGTTGTTCATCCACCTCTGGCCTTCAGTCATACTCCAGAACTTGAGTTTTGCACGCACTGCCATTCTACATATATGATCCGTTTATGCGCAGACTGTTGGTTTGTCACTTAGTCTTTCATCATCTACTGCATGTGTTGAGGCACCCGATGGGAATGTTTACTCTCTCACATAAAACTAGAGACAGAGAGATACCATGCAGACACATTTACTTCCTTCACTTCTACCTAATGATACAGACACAATCTTCATCATTCCGAGCCCTTGAGGTTCACTGTTGCAGATATCACCCGCCTTCACTCATTTCTGTTATAAGTCCTCTCTTTCCAGTTAATGAATCCAAGTGATTGCAGGTCTGCCAGTATATTATCTCTCCACCGTCTTCTTGGTCTGCCTCGGGGTCTATGACTATTCAACTCTCTTGTGAACACACTTTTGGCCTTTTCTGTCATCTGACATTCTCTCAATATGACCCAGCCATTTCAGTCTATTAGCTCTCATGATGCCAGTAATCGTGATTTAAACAGATTTTGTATTTTGATGTTGCTTCTCAATCTCCATTCTATGTTGTTTGCATCTTTGATGGGTCCAAGGATTCGTCGTAAGAATCTGATTGTTTTTTTTAAAAATCAGTAAAGAAAGTTCCATCTTTTTTAACTGTGCTCCAAGTTTCAGAGCCATACAAAATATATAGACACAACATATATAGATAGAATACACATGTTTATTCTCTCCACATAAACCAGGGACATAAAGACACCATACAGGTATATTTACACCTCGCCCCCCCCCCACCCCCCCACTTCTACCAAGTGGTACAGATACAACATACCCAATTTCAATTTTATTCACTTCACATAAGCCAGGGACATAAAGACACCATACAGGTATATTTACACCTGTCCCCCAACTTATATCTAGTGGTACAGATACAACATACACATGTTTATTCTCTCCACATAAACCAGGGACATAAAGACACCATACAGGTATATTTACACCAACCCGCAACTTCTACCTAGTGGTACAGATACAACACACCCAAGTTTATTCTCTTCACATAAAACCAGGGACACCGAAATACTACACTGGCCAGTGTCCCTGGTTTTTATATCTGCCTCTTGCCTTCAAGTTCATAGATGGAAAAAAAAAACCCTTCCGCGTTCAACAAGCACTCCCTGAAGAATTATGAATTAATCAAGTAGCAGAAAGTGTATTGATCGGCACTCATAGAAAGAAGTAGAAAGATAGAAGAAAACACTAGACAACATAACTCCCTGAAGAAGCTGCTTCTAGTAACATTGTAATCTCTGTTTATCTGCGCCATATTCATAGCTAAAACCTGCTTGCCACCAAGTAACCCTGAAACGGACTTTTGCAGTGCTGATAGGATGACCAAACCCTACCACATTCCCGACCAGCAACCAAATTGGCAAATCCCCCGCCCGGCACTTGCCTTCAAATGTATCTTGAAGAATAAACAAGTTCATGACATAGAACTAAATGAAATTGGCTCCCAGGTCGACCTGGCCTTGAGTGGGTACCAGGGGCAAGTCCCGGGAAGTAAAGGCAGCAGGCGTGATGCTGACCACATCACCCATCTTGTGCCTAGCCTATATATGCCCTATATGCCTAGAAGGCGTGGAAAAGGGTCTTTCACTTTTTTTTACATGGAACTGTGGAAAGTGGCAACAGACAGTATAGTTTTCAAGCTGAGGGTAGAAGTGAGAGATGAGACAATAAGGAAGTGTGTGTGCTACTCACAGTCTGTCTCGTGCTTGTAAGGGCCGATGGTCAGAGCTGGTGTGTTGGACAGCATGGAGTGTAAGGTGAGTGTCGGGTCCTGGAACACCTGCAACACAACACAGATAGTTTGATCACCCAATAGCTTGCTTGTCTCAGCTCAATAATAAATCTCATCACAGCACAACCAAACAACAAGAATCAATTTCATCTCAGAACATTAAGCAAGCAATCCCAGCACAGCACAACAATCAATCTAATCATAGAACAACAATCAAACAACCTTGTCACAGCAATACAGTCAAACAATCTTGTCACAGCAATACAGTCAAACAATCTTGTCACAGCAATACAGTCAAACAATCTTGTCACAACAATACAGTCAAACATTCTTGTCACAGCAATACAGTCAAACAATCTTGTCACAACAATACAGTCAAACAATCTTGTCACAGCAATACAGTCAAACAATCTTGTCACAACAATACAGTCAAACAATCTTGTCACAGCAATACAGTCAAACAATCTTGTCACAGCAATACAGTCAAACAATCTTGTCACAGCAATACAGTCAAACAATCTTGTCACAACAATACAGTCAAACAATCTTGTCACATCAATACAGTCAAACAATCTTGTCACAGCAATACAGTCAAACATTCTTGTCACAGCAATACAGTCAAACATTCTTGTCACAGCAATACAGTCAAACATTCTTGTCACAGCAATACAGTCAAACAATCTTGTCACAGCAATACAGTCAAACAATCTTGTCACAGCAACACAGTCAAACAATCTGGGCATAGCAAGTAAAATAAAAAAGTAAATTAAAGGATGTTTTTACACAGTATTACAAACATCTACTTCACGGCAATAATAAATATACTATATCACTATAACAATACAAACATTTTGTATCAACAGTGTTACAAATATTCTGATCACACCACAACAAACATACCATACCACTACAATAATACAAACATTACCCTACATCCTTCCAGGCCCACACTGGGCTTATAAGTCACCTCTGGACTCACAGACAATCAACTACACCTTCATGACGGGTGACATAGAGTGATCTTCATCACTTGGGATGGACGATCAACAATAAACATACTATCTCACTACAGTCATCTAAACATGCTATCTCACTACAGTCACTTAAACATACAGTCTCACTACAGTAATTTAAACATACTATCGCACTACAGTCATTTAAACATACTATCTCACTAGTCATTTAAACATACTATCTCACTACAGTCATTTAAACATACTATCTCGCTACAGTCATTTAAACATACTATCTCGCTACAGTCATTTAAACATACTATCTCACTACAGTAATTTAAACATACTATCTCACTACAGTCATTTAAACATACTATCTCACTACAGTCATTTAAACATACTATCTCACTACAGTCATTTAAACATACTATCTCACTACAGTCATTTAAACATACTATCTCACTACAGTCATTTAAACATACTATCTCGCTACAGTCATTTAAACATACTATCTCGCTACAGTCATTTAAACATACATCTACTATTTCATACTACAGTCAGACATTTAAACATACTATCTCACTACAGTCATTTAAACATACTATCTCCCTACAGACATTTTAACATACTATCTCACTACAGACATTTAAACATACTATCTCACTACAGACATTTAAACATACTATCTCACTAAAGTCATTTAAACATACTATCTCACTACAGTCATTTAAACATACTATCTCACTACAGACATTCAAACATACTATCTCATCGTAGTACTCAACAACCAAGGATTTCTTGCCCAACATGACGTCCGTCTCACTCTGGAACAGCTTGAGGAGATGATAAATTGTCACCTGCAATTAATGAGGATCTGTCATTAGTTCCAACCTCTTTCAAAACATCTAGATTTATAATTTTGACTGCCAAATAGAGTCACTGCCTCCCTAACAGGTAGGTCACAATAGGAAACTTATTAGGGGCGTGGGAGCCGCCATGGTGTGGTGGCTGGATGCTCACCTGCAAATCTCAAGGTTGTGGGTTTGAACCTGAACAAAGTGGATTTTTTCTTCAAAAATGACCTTGGCTCCGAGGTCAACACAACCTTGAGTGGGTACCAGATAAAGATTTGGGAAGTAAAAGCAGCCTATGTGATGCTGACCACATTTCCCACACATTATAAGTATAGGTCTCACTCTATATGCCTTAAGGCGTGGAAAAGGGTTCTTAACTTTAAATTAAGGGTGTTCCCTTATTAGTCGAAACGCATCTACCTGAGAGGTAAGGAACCAACAGTCTGCATATAAACAAACCAGATATGTAAAATGGATGTGCATATGCAAACTCAAATTCTGAAACAAAAAACTCCAGAAGCAGATGAACAACTAGAGCTTTCCGCTGAAGCTTACAGCTGGTGAATGTTGAGAAGAAGATGAGACAGTCTAAGGAATCTTGAGCTTTCTTCTGTGAAATCAAACTTCTAGGGCCTGAAGAAGATTTGTTACACATTTACAGACTGTCCAGAATTCACAGCCGTGTGTTTAGGGCTAGACCTATATTTTTTTTATAGACTAATCGGCACAAGATGGGTGGGGTGGTTAGCATCATGCCTGCCACCTTTACTTCCCAGAACTGCACCTGGTACCCACTCAAGGCTGGATCTACCTGCGAGAGAAGGTCGTTTTTGAAAAAGTCAGGCTCTGCCAGGGAGCGAACCCACAACCTTCCGATCCGCAGGCTAGCATCTAGCCACTACGCCACTGCGAGTCCCCTGGTTCCATGTAGCATGCAACATTTCTCCCCCTAGCCCTCGGTGACAGTGATTTATTGCAATCCTATCGATTTCATGGATGGCACTGTCGGTGACAGTGATTTATTGCAATCCTATCGATATCATGGATGGCACTGTCAGTGACAGTGATTTATTGCAATCCTATCGATATCATGGATGGCACTGTCAGTGACAGTGATTTATTGCAATCCTATTGATATCATGGGTGGCACTGTCAGTGACAGTGATTTATTGCAATCCTATCGATATCATGGATGGCACTGTCGGTGACAGTGATTTATTGCAATCCTATCGATATCATGGATGGCACTGTAGGTGACAGTGATTTATTGCAATCCTATCGATATCATGGATGGCACTGTCAGTGACAGTGATTTATTGCAATCCTATCGATATCATGGATGGCACTGTCAGTGACAGTGATTTATTGCAATCCTATCGATATCATGGATGGCACTGTCAGTGACAGTGATTTATTGCAATCCTATCGATATCATGGATGGCACTGTCAGTGACAGTGATTTATTGCAATCCTATCGATATCATGGATGGCACTGTCTGTCGGTGACAGTGATTTATTGCAATCCTATCGATATCATGGATGGCACTGTCAGTGACAGTGATTTATTGCAATCCTATCGATATCATGGATGGCACTGTCAGTGACAGTGATTTATTGCAATCCTATCGATATCATGGATGGCACTGTCAGTGACAGTGATTTATTGCAATCCTATCGATATCATGGATGGCACTGTCAGTGACAGTGATTTATTGCAATCCTATCGATATCATAGATGGCACTGTCAGTGACAGTGATTTATTGCAATCCTATCGATATCATGGATGGCACTGTCAGTGACAGTGATTTATTGCAATCCTATCGATCATGGATGGCATGTCAGTGATGATTTTTATTGCACTGTCGATGACAGTGATTTTATTGCAATCCTATCGATATCATGGATGGCACTGTCAGTGACAGTGATTTATTGCAATCCTATCGATATCATGGATGGCACTGTCAGTGACAGTGATTTATTGCAATCCTATCGATATCATGGATGGCACTGTCGGTGACAGTGATTTATTGCAATCCTATCGATATCATGGATGGCACTGTTGGTGACAGTGATTTATTGCAATCCTATCGATATCATGGATGGCACTGTCAGTGACAGTGATTTATTGCAATCCTATCGATATCATGGATGGCACTGTTGGTGACAGTGATTTATTGCAATCCTATCGATATCATGGATGGCGCTGAGTCCAGTACAACTGGCCTCCCTCAACAACATTCATCCCAAGGTTTCTCTTGAACGCCCCAGTTTCTGCATCCATTTGTTTCCCACTTTAGTGCCTATTTAGTGATCCTCTTTCCACGTCTCCTCATAACATGCCCAATATATTGCCACATTTTTTTTCTTAAAGCAGTTTAAACACTTGTCCAGACATTTCTCTCATTTCTTCATCATTCTTGACTTCCTCCCATTTAATATTCATCAATTTCCTTATCATGAAAAGAGTTCTTTGGCATTTGTTTTTTTTTTAATGCATTTACCTTTCATAAAATGTCTGTAGTGATTCACAAACAATATACTGATATATAAAAAAGCACCAATTTTTACAACACAATGCAAGACCTATTTGACAGATACAGCTGAAAACAACATACTGGCCGTTCTGCCGGGTCGTTGAAGTAAATCTTGATGATAATTTCAAACTCCCCCCATCCAGTTTCCGTAACTTCATACGGTGGCTTGCTTACCACTGAAATGTCCAGACAACAACAGTAAAGTAAAAATAATTGAATACTGACATAAAAGCTCTGACGCAGGCAAGTATCTCTAAAATGGTGAATTGGAAACTGGGAAGAGATCTGCAGGGAGGCCAAGGCTACACCATAAGGACATGTGTAAATGTAACCTGAAAGATATCAATCCCACAGGATCACCAGAATCTTCTTCTTTGCGTTCACCGGCTGTAAACTCCACTGGAAAGTTCTGGTTGTTCACCCACCTCTGGACTTTAGACTTGTTTCATAACCCTAGTATTGCATGCACATCTGTTTTACAGATCTAACATTATTATCTGCAGACTGTTGGTTCCTTGCCTCTCAAGCAGATGCACTCCAACTTCGAAGGAAGCCTCCAGCTGGTCGACTCTTACGACATGCTTGCTGGGGAGGCAATGGATCTATTCTTGTTTTTTCCACAATGGGGTCCCAGAGCCCACAAGGGGATCACCAGAATATCAGGGCTTCAAAATCTAACTAGTAGAAAAACAATCTTTATATCTGTGTTGCTTTTATCATTATGAAACCTATATGAGATTAGTGTTCTGCACGAAAATAGTAAGACAATAGCGATGCTGAAGTTTGGCTGAGGGGTTTAAAGTACAAATCTGGATGAATAACCAGAACTTTCAGCTGATGAACCCAAAGAAGAAGACATGACTGTACAGGGGCAGCATACATCCTAAATACTTCCCTGTTGGCAACTGTGAGCCCTTTTTTAACAAAAGTGGGAAGATGGAAAGAAAATGCTTTGGTATGGACCAAACGAACAAACTGTATTTTCAAAGGGTCACAAAAAGGGCATGCAGACCCGTCTTACATTCGGCCCTTCGAAACACCCATCTTTTACACACAGTTGTACTTTTATGGACATGTAATAAGATGATTAGGCCTCTCCAGAACAATATATAGCAGATACTCGTTGATACTCGTTCTGAAGCTGGTTCTTCTTTCAGAAATCTCCCCTCTACTGCTGGTTGCATTTGGCCTCTTTCAAACTGCACCTGCCCATCTTTTGCTGAATAATACTATAGGTCTGGGCAGAGAGGAAGAGAAGAAGAGGCAGATGAAGGAAGACCAAGATGCAGAATTTCCCTGACCGATTGTGGCTCGGATATGCAGTCAACAAGCCTATCCCATCTAACCAATACAGGTGGACAGAATTTATCGGTCAATAGCAACAGGTATGGGACTTATTATTACCCTGACAACGAATGGAAACTGTGAACTTATAGAGATATTCACCCTTTCACCTGAGAAGCCTAAATGTAGTCACTTCCATTTGTGCCATGTCCTCGTAAATGACAACATATAGCTATGTCTGCGGTGACCTGTTTTCCAGAAGCATAGTTAAATTCTACTGGACGTATGTGCGCCTGTGCGGCATTTAATACGCCAGGATATGAAAACGGCAATTAAAAATAGCGGTGGGGTGGGGGATGGGGGAGGTTATAATCACAGTGGCTTTTTGAAAACTAATATGATGTCAAATCTTCCCGTAAGCCTCAGTGATAGAAGGCATGAGTCAACCAAAACATTTTCTTTTAAAAATGCTCAAGGGAATGTATTCATTTAATGCTAAAATCTATTTTTGTTTACTGAATACTCCTCTTTATATCTTTCAAATTTTTAAATTTAAAAAAAAAAACATTAAAAATTTTTTTTTTTTTAAATATTCGTGACCTGTGTAATATGTTTTTTTTTTCTTTAAAGGATTTCTTTTCTAGTGATCCATGAGCAATTTTTATTTAAGCACTGACATGGTGAAAGGGTAAACAACCTAATACGTGAAAGGAAGTTGCAGCATCTATAGATTGCAATGAAAGTAACGCAGCCGTGAAGAAAACTTACCTCGGTTTGGGTTGGGGTAGCTGTCGTGCAATTTAAAGTTGATTTTTTTGACATATGCTGACATATCCTGTGGGGAAAAAAATCATCATTTGTCAGTGATTTCCAAGTTGTGATATCACTGCCTAATGAATTTGTGTGCATGGCTGTGCAAGTGCAAGGAAAAAAACACCAACAAAACTGCCGATTACTGCCTGTATTTACCTCGTTTCGAGTTTAGGCAGAGTGGTCTTTGAGCCTGAAGAATTAGGACAGCATGGCTAGTGCTGTCGCCATGGACTATGTAGGTTAGGATTTTATTTGTCTGCCTTCGACATTACAAAAATCCATGACGTTACCGAGGATTTGAACCTGTGTGTCCTATTTAAGAGCCCAGCATTCTTAACTGTTCAGTCAACCGAACAAGTGCAAAGGTGGATGGATATCTCCCCTTCCTCAGTATTTCGAGCCCTTGAGGTTCAATGCTGAGGATATCACCCCTTAATTTATCTCTGCGATTGTCTTTCTAGTTGGCGATTCCATCCCTGTGGGGATTTCTAGGCCCCATTTGAGAAGTGGAAGGGGAAGAATAGACCTACCGCCTCTTTCCCTAACAAACATGTTGTACAAAGTGACTAAATAGGGCTGTTTCCTTCAAAGTCAGCGCATTTGCCTGAGAGTCCAGGAAACAATAGTCTACACACAAAAAGCCAGATCTGCTAAAGGGATATGCATTTAAAAAAACCACACTAGTTCTGGGACAAAGCTAAAGTCCAGAAGTGGATTAACATCAGAACTTTCCACTGGAGTTTACTGCATGTGAACACTAAGCTTACCAAGAAGAAAGTAACTCAGAGCGTTTGAAGTTCTACATGTATATTATCTCTCCACAATCTAGTTGGGCTACCTTTTGGTCTACCTGCACTAAACTATTTTATATATGCAGCTTCTTTCTCCGTTATCTGTCATTCTCTCAAATATGGATAGGTAAAAGAGAAAAAGCACACAGCACAGTGAATGCTACTAAAAATATGACAACAGATAAGCTACACGAACCTCATTCCTGTATGGTTTGACATACACTGTCCACTGGTGGGTATGTCCGTCATCATCTCTCTTCTTGCCAAAATAACGAGCAATGTTACCGTAGACTAGCGGCTTGACGATCGTCACATTCTACAGAGACAATAACATGAACAAGCAGCTGTAGCAAGGTTGGATCACATTCTTCAGAGGCAACAACATGGACGAGTAACAGTAGAACAGGTAGTATCACATTCTACAGAGACAAAAACACAGACGAGTAACGGAAGCAAAGGTTGTATCACATTCTACAGAGACAATAACCTGGACAAGCAGCGGTAGCAAGGTTGTATCACATTCTACAGAAACAACATGGACGAGTAATGGTAGCAAGGTTGTATCACATTCTCCACAATGTTTCATTTTATATTCAGTTTAATAAAGTAATCAGAATCATAAAATTATATGGTGTAGCAGTTAGATGCTCAACTCGGATACACAGGTTATAGGAACAAATCTGCATCGAGCCAGTTTTTTTCTCCAAAATAACCTTGGCTCTCAGGTCAACCCAGCCTAAACAACCGGGTACCAGGTAAAGTCCTGGAAAGTAAATGCAGCTGACGTGATGCTGACATCATCCACAGTGTTGACTGGTCTAGAAAATATAGGTCTGGCACTGTATGATGAGTACATGCCCAATACACCTAAAGGCATGGAGGTATTTTTTTTAAAAGTATAATACAACTTATTATAAGATGACAACATATAAAACAACATAGCAGCATTGCATTATTTCTGGTGGTCTCTAGCTGAAAGTCAGTGTCTGTGGCTTAGGGGTTGCTAACGCGTTTCATATGCCAGGGTGCTGGGTTCGATCCCTGTTGCGGATGATTTGTCCTGCTCTGGTTTCGACAGTGGTACAGAGAGCTGACCGCTCAGCAGGTACCAGCAAATTATTGAACGTAAAATTTGCCTAGAAAAACCACAACAGCCAAAATATCAAGGGGTTGGTTCTGCAACATCCTGTAAAGGATTGGCAACTGCCAACACCACTGCCAACACCACTGCCAACACCACTGCCAACAACACTGCCAACAACACTACCAACAACACTGCCAACAACACTGCCAATGACTAGCTTTATTTTACCACTTTTGCGGCGTAGGCAGGAAGTCTTTGAGCCTGAGTATTTACAGCCTCATGGCTAGTACTGTCGCCATTGACTATGAAGGTGAGGATTTAATTTTGCCCCTCAACAGAAAAATCTCAAGCCTTAGAGAGGATCTGAACCTGGGTCTCGTGCTTCAGAGCCCAGCGTTCTAACCAATCGGCCAGCAAGGATAGGCAACTAACTAACTGAAAACAGAAACAAGAAAAAAATACCAAGTTTACGAAATCAATCGTTCCTTACTTTGAGTCTACCGGTGGTATCCTGTGCTGGCAATGCCATGTACTGACGGTTCTAACAGCTCAACAGTTCGAAAGCTCAATATCTTTATAGCTTGACCAGTTGTGACAATTCAGGTTGCGGCAGAAACAACACAAGGCAAGCGCAGCAATGCTAATGTTTGGATCATTGAATAAATAATAAATAATAATAAATTAAAAATATTAGTAACGTTTCATTTAGTTGACTTTATAAAGTGTATTAGTTACAGTTACAAAGTTTAAACTTTAAACTTTAAACAATTCAATTATTTCAAATAAGTATAAAGTAATATTAATATATATATTATTTATACGGACTATGAAGTCTCTTTAAAGTGTAATCATATAAATTACAATTTATTAGTTAAAAAAGACTAAATGAAAATTTTTTATTAATTAAGAAAATAAAAAAAAAAATATTGATTTCATAACTAAACTTTTTTCATCAACACTAGTGGCACAAAGTTTAGGTTTAGGCTAAACAAACAAACTGCCGACTTTAGCCAGCAGTTTTAATTTTTACTCGTTTAAATGACAAGATAATAAGATAAACAACTATCAGAACACGAAATCGGCACAAGCACGTCGATGTTTTACCAACACAATAATCGAGAAAATAATACGTTGCTCAAAACTTCGTTATTTTACGATTATTGTCAACGGTTGAACAATCGAAATTTTCTATGTTGATCTTGTAGAGACTAATATCCCCGAGAGTTACATTCCCTTGGTTAGTACAAAACTACTGGCAAACGTTCACAAGTTCACACAACAAAACAATTTCGTTAAATAACACGTTAAATAGCAGAGTAAAACTTTAAGTGGAGTCAACAATTCACCGTCCTTTTTAGGATGAAATTTTTCCTTATTTGACGCCCCACCCTGGTTCTTGCCGGGGGCTGCAAAATAGCTAGCCCATAAATATAGCTGAACGCGGTTTCTATGACCTCTCCACGGTGATCCTCATCCACATGGTTGCCCATTGTTTCATCGGGTGTTTATCGCTTGTGTGATGTCCTGGTGGGGTAGAAAGTCAGTTCATACATCAAAACCTTCAGCGACTGAAGGAGTACGATGGTGTCTTTCTGGGCAAGAAAAATAAAGCCAGACAGGGGTCATCCTGAAGCAAGTCAACTGCAGAACGTCGCTCTCATCATGACATGCACTCGTGGCGAAGTGGGCAAGCCATTTGCCTCGCGTTCTGTAGGTCGAAGGTTCGCTTCACGGCTGCGCCGATCAGTTTACAAGTGCAATTTTTACGGAAATTCATGGTGATCGTCTTCGGAGCTATGGAGTTCGTGCTCTATGCAGCACTCTCGGTGGGCGGCTATCCATTCCGCAGAGAAAAACCGAGCTAAATGTGATAAAACCCGGCGCATAAGTAAATCCTCTCGACTTTTAACCCATGGCCAACACTGCAAACGTTCATGCCCATGGTGTTCTTGATATCCTATGGATGACTTGTCAACCCCTACCTCTTCTTCCAACAACCATACCCTCGTTACTTTTTACAGTTGTTAACTCTCTCAGTCCCCCCCCCCCCCCCAAAAAAGGCATAGTGTGAGGGAATCCTCCTACTGAGTCAACCAGTGAACAGTGTGTTCTCATACATTTTAATTGTGGTCAGAGAATATGAGAAAATCTGGCAATCCAACTGGTCGTATCGTCTGTGTTTAGCCTTATGTTAGCTTTCATAATCTGTTGCCTGACTGATTATAGACTGGGGCTGCTCACTGTCTCAAAAAGCCAGTTGGGGAAACAGGAGCGCACACAGAATGAAGCTATGCGACTGATCCTGGGATGTACAAGAGACACCCTGGTTGTATGCATGTGATATATCCTAGCATTGCCGACTATTGCAGATAGGTTAAAGGTGCTGCAGGCTAAGTCATACCTCAGAGTAGCTGCAGACAAAGAGCACCCTCTGTATGAAGCTTTGGATGCAGCTAGGGATTTAGGTTTGAGTTTAGGCAACGGATCAACATCATGGCACAAAGGTAGTAATCCATAAGTGCTCCGTCCTGCCTCTGACTCAAGCCCGAGTCCGAAAAACTCAGTGCAGTGCATGAATTCCGTAGCACTGACGTGGATCCTTAAAAACTGGGTAGATTTTTAACTCAAAATGTTGCCCGGACAGAGCCGTTAAGCTACTCTTCCTCTCTTTCCAACTACCAAGGAATTTTTTATATGTGAATCAGTACACACGTCTGTCCGATCTTACTACCCAGAGACCAGGGGAAATTACTAGAAGTCCACGTAATAAAAATCACAGCCTTCATAGGGGCTTGAACCCGGAACCTCCAGCACTCGAGGTGGATGCCATGCCTCGAAACTATGCAGCCCCCGTCAGCTAAGGGTCAGAGGCTGAAGAGGGAAAAATCATGGATGGCTAAAGTAGAAGACACAATAAGACAAGCATGCTTGCTGGAGAACATTGGGCGAGTAGAGGAGTGGGTTAGAGTACCCAAATAAAAGTCTGGCCTGGGTAGGGTCATGATCACATTGGGCAGAGAGTGGCCACGGAGGTCGAAGTCCAACGGTTGATTCACGACAATTCTCTCCCAGATGATCTGATTATCTAAACAGACGGTTCTATGTTGAGAGGACAGAGAAGTGCCTAGGGGTTCGTAGCAAAAGCCAATGGAGAATCTTTAGTGCAGGACAGCCTATCATATGATACCACAATATCTAGCATGAGAATGGAGGTGGAGGTGGTCACTGCAGTTTTCTGGTGGCTAGAGAACAAGATGCATACACATGCCATATTTGTAACAGACTCTGAAAGCATGCTAAGAAAGGTGAAGACAGAGTTGCTTCGAGCAGAGTGTCAAGCTTTCGCCTGGAAGGTCACAGGTAGTGAGAATACTTTTGATCTTCTCTCCAGGCTATGCCGGCGTGGTAGAGAATGAACAGGCAGACAAACTGGCTGGATGTGCACCACTGGGTGGTGAACTGGTACATGAAAAGGCAGATGTGGTCAAGGCCTTTTGGAAACAAGTAATGAAACCGGAAGAGAATCTGGATTATTATGGCCTGGAGAAAATGATGCACCTGGGTGTAACCAGAAGATCTGGCCGGGAACACTCAGGGGAACGGCAACCAGTTATGACCGGTACCATTAATATTGGAACAGGGCGCTGGCTGCTGAAGATGGAGCGCACATCCAAATGCCCCGAGTGCTGTGATATCAGTTCTTGACCAGCTCAAGACAACTCAGTTCAATTTATTGCCTTCTTAAGTATCTGACCTCCAATCTTATAGTACTGAGACAGCAGTAGTAGCAATTTTTTTTTTCAAAAATATCCTGTTCAACTCTCAGGGTTATAATTGGGATGTAAAGTATTCTCAGAGTAAATAGTTGTTATATTTATATATTTAAATTTATAATAAATATATATTTATATATTTAAATATCTGAAGGGTTATTTAATTTGTATTGTTTCGCATATTGCTTTGATCTGGGTTGTGATTATGAAAACAACTGTACTATCAATAATTAGACTGAAAGAGCTAATATGGTAGAAGTACTTGACATCCCCCGATTTCTTTTGGGGTCCATAGTACTCCAAAAGCTTCCTGTAACATTTAAGCTCAAAGATGACTTTCTTATTTACCATATTCAACCAGCATCCTTGAAGGGGGCGCTTTATGTAATAAATGTAACTAGGTTCTGCGTGCCATGTAAAATGGCTTAACTCTACCCGCTACCAAGTACCTATGACAACGACTCCTGTAGTGTTGATGCGATCAAAGGAGACAGAGACAGACCTAAATACTGTCCCGACCAGCGAAGAAGTCGTCTAGTGGCCAGCCAATGGGCGACCAGTCGCCTAGGACTCGCATCCGCTTGTTGCCCTATGCAGCAAGACGCTTCAACCGGCAACAGGAAACTGCTAAAACCCACAGGGTAGTCCAGGAGCACTAGAACATGGGAGTTCAGACACTTTACGCCTCTGCCCCTCCAAATTTAGGAGGCCGAGCTCCTTCCTCTACCCTAAACAATTTTATGAGATGTGGGGGAGGGGGAAGATTAGTATAGTGAATACCCCCGTGTGGGTTCCGGGGCCCCATTGTGGGGAAAACAAGAATAGACCCACTGCCTCCCCAAAAGCATGTCGTAAGAGTTGACTAATTGGGGAGCTTCCTTTGAAGTCGGAGTGCATCTGCAGGAGAGGCAAGGAACCCAGAGTCTGTATTCAAGAGAATGAGATCTGTAAAACTGATGCACACGCAACACTCAGGTTCTGGAGCAGGACTGCAGTTCAGTAGTGGACAAGCAACCAGAACCATCCGCCAGAGTTTACAGCTGGTGAACGCGAAGAAGAAGAAGAAGTATAGTGAATAGATGTTCTATTTTAAGTATTTATTTTTTATATTTTTTATTGTTTTACATATTATATTAATTTAAGATTCAATACAGAACACTCATAATCATCATCAGTTTCCACTTTTGCTGTTAACTCTTAAGAGTCCCAAGGAACGCATCACACGTTCATAGATTCCTACCTACAAGCCCAATGAACGTCTCTCTTGACTACCCCTTGGGCCTGTGATGCTAAACCTCCTGGGACTCAAAAAGTTAATGTAAACGTCATGGGGTGAAACAGTTCGCGATACATTGCTTGATAGGCAGCGTTGGCTATTGTCATTTCACATGGAATGCCAAAGCTCTTGAATGTCATCAACACATCTTCTTCTAGGGCTGCCTCTTGCTTTCACTTCAGACCTTTTCGTGAGTAGCGCTTGCGTTGGTAGTTTTTATGGCTGTATTCTTACTAGATGACCAAATTTTCTGTTTCTCAATGAATTTGCCTAAACTGAGCACAAGGAAATGTTAAATGAAGTAAAGGTAGATGAGGTTACATTGACTTCATCACCTGGAGGTCTCTGTAGCAAAGTGACCGAGCCGTTTGCCTCATGCTCTGGAGGTCATGGGTTTGTTTTTCAGTTGCGTCATTTGGTTCACGACTTCAATTTTACCGAAATTCTGGAGATTGTCACCGGAGCTCCAGAGAGAGACTGAGCCATTTGGGAGAAAACTAAGTGCAGTGAAGTAAATCTTCTTGTCTTCAATTTTTAACTTCAACCTATTATATGCCAAATCATCTATAATGAATTGGGCACTCCAAGGTTTCTTTACTTAGTATTCATCGTATACGAAAAAAATAATTATGCCCTGGTTATCCAACAGTGCTTTCTAAATGATTCCACAAGCATGCTTAAAAAGACAAAGACAGGATGGATTCGAAGAAAATGGTTAGAGTCGTTGAGGAAATCTCGTCCGAAAGAAATTAGTTTTATTTTTGTGCCAGGACACTCTGGGGTGAGAGGGAATGAACGAGGGGATTGGCTTGCTGGTAGGGCCATGGTAGGTATAGGAAAAGCCATGGACTGGGCCAACATTCTCAATACTTTCCAGGAGACAGGATGAGAAGATATTTCAAGAGACGACGCTGAATCGGCAACGTTCCAAAGACTACAAAAAAACCAGGTAAAAAGTGGGATTTTTTCTTCTTCAAAAATGATCTTGGCTCTAAAATTGTACCAGCCCAAAAATGGGAACCAGGCAGAGTGCCAGTCAGTCTCTAGATTATATATGTAGCATTATACACCTACAACACCTAAGCATATGGAAAAGGGTCCTTTACTTTTCCCCTCAGTAATAGTTACAGCACAACTAAGTTTTGGATCAGGAGTATCAAGTTTTCTTCACATAGTTACTGAGCTGAGTGTCTGGTGCTGCACTGTGAGCTGTGAATTTCGTGTGAAATATTTTTTCTCATGTGCATGCGGTGTACTAAAATGCCAGATGGCAATTTACGTTCAGAATGGCATGTAGTTTTGGAGGTGCAGTGCCAGATTTCGTGACTGATCATCTGCACCAACAGTGAGCTGCAATTCTAGTGTGGGATCATTAGTGTTGGCACATCTGGCAGCTGCCTTGTGTATTTTTACTTTGCAATTATGGGGAGTTGCATTTGCAACTATGATAAAACCTTCACTAACTAACTATTTAGTTACAGAAGGAAACCAGTTATGTTCTTAAATGATCATTAAATCTAATACAGAAAGAAAATGAGTATATTGAACACACACACAATCAATTTTTCAACTAAATATTGCTGCTTCATTTTTTCAAACTTTACCACAAAACTGTTAATTCACAAGAAAACTTTTAATTCACGGCTGAATGAATATATTTTCACAATGACGGGGAAAGAAAAAAGACTGACAGTCAGAGACAAACAGCGAGAGAGAAGAGAGACACAGAGATAGAGAAATATATATATAGAGAGAGTGACACAGGACAAGCGACAGAGAAAGAGTTAGAGAGAGAGAAATAGGTTTGATTTATATTACTAAACTAGATATTGACAAACGATTCATATTTAAATTACATAATCTATGGATGTACAGAAAAACAGTTGAAGAAAATAAATTTTAGAAAAATTAAGCAGTCATAGAAAAGATGAGAAAGAAAGAAAGCTGATAAAAGCAATTAACAAAAAAAAAAACAAATTTCAAATATTTTGTTACATTGACACAACACCCAAAAAAAAAAAAAAAAAAAAAAATTATTGAAAGGATAAAGTTCAGGGATGTCAGCAAGAGGCTGGCAATGGTACAAGTGATTTAAGAACATATTATGGCATAAGTCACCTGATAAATATATATTTTAGACTTCGGGGAATGTATTCCATTTTATGCTTTGCTCCGTTGATGTTTACTGATTACTTTTTTTAAAAGTATATCTTTACATATTTCGAAAACCTAAAGAAAGCATTCATAAATACATTTTAAAAGAATTCTTATTGACCTTTGATATGTTTTGAGAATTCCCAAGAAGTCACAACCCTTTATTTTTAGCATTACCAGCAAAAAAAAAAAAAAAATGGTTAAGGCAAAAGCTGAGACAGAGTGGGTGTGAACAGCCATGGGTGGCTAACACAACTACCAGTTTGCCGCTTCTGTTTTCTTTCCTTCTCGTTTTTTCTGCAGTTTCTCCCTGGATACACTTAGGTCATATTTAAATCCATCTTTCACGGCTGCAACCTCTCGCTTTTTAACTGTCTTCAGAACTCTTTTTTGTAACTCTTCCCGTGTTAATGGTCGAGCTTCTTCGTCTTCTTCTTCACTGGCTTCACTTTCATACTCATCTCTGCCAGAGTAAACAAACAACAGGCATTGAAACATGGGTTCTGGGTTAGCCATTTGTTGGGGGAAACAAAAATTAGACTCACTTCCCCCAACAAGCACGCAGTAAAAAGCCACAATTGAGGGGTTTCCTGAAACTGGTCCGTCACCTAACAACTGAGTTGAGTGCATGGCGTGACACTGTGAGTTGTGGATTTTACTTGGAGTGCTTTCAACTGTGCTGAACATGGTTTGTTTTGTGACCTGCAGATTCTGAAAATCGCAAGCGGCCTGTTGCTAGAGAATTTGTCATGCCTTATTAATTACATGTTGAATTAAAAATCTGTTGTAATTGCTGCTTCCATCGACGATAAACTGCATTTCTAGTGTTGGATTGTTTGTGTTGATGCTTGACCGCTGCCCTATGCATTCAATGCATGTGCTGTTGGATTTGCCAAGACTGCAGCCTGTGTGATGGGCATTGTATGTGGTTTTTGTTGGTACAGGAAAATATGTGTGTACGAGGAATTAGGAGTGGATCCGAAAAGGAGGGGCGTATGAGAGGAAGAGAATGATATGTGTATATTCAGTGTGCTTCAGGAACAGTTTGCATCTACACATTTAGACATTTGATGAAGGAGCATCTATGGGTCTGCTCGGGGTGCTATGATGTCCATTAATCAGTAAACATAGAATGCCTAAACTCACCTGTCTATAAAATTTTGTCAACAAAACTGTCTACTATTAATATACTCTTGTCTACAACAGTTTGTCTACTAAAATACCTGGTCTGCTATAGTGGAAGTACTAGAGCTAGCCTACTTTAGATTTTATACAACATATTTTCTATTTGAATTAATTCTCAACAATTTATCTACAACAACTTACTTATTTGAACTTATCTATATCTTTTTTACATTTTGTCCTCCACTGCCACACATGATATTGCCACCCGATCCACTCCTCACCTATCACACATAAAGGCTAATCCCCTCCCACAACAACAATACCACTTACCCAACTGATGGAGGGATAACTGGTGGAGGAGGCTGTGGTGGTGATGGCCCTTCTCCCAAAAAGCTCACACTTTTGAGGTCAGCCTTTTCTTGGTCCTAAAAAAAACAAATACTAGATCACTGCTCAAACGGCAAACATGATGCAACAAAGAAAGGTAATAAACACTAAGCCTGTGTAGCTATGTTGCAGCATTCTATTATCCATTCTTTTAATCAGTGAAAGTGTGAAACCTATACAATTCATTGACGAAGGAAGGTCCTGTATGCAAGCCTTTCAGTCCAGCAGTCAGTGGTTTTCCAGTATGAGGTCTTCAATGGCTGCAATCAACTTTAGGGTCACTACTGAGTGTGCCTGACCTGGTCAGGAACTGTCTGCCACAGAAGTCACAACCATTTTGAAACTTTGAACTCCCTCATACACTCGCTGAACTGACAGACATGCATCACAATACTGGACCTCCATTCACTAATGTATTTCTGTCGGTTTCACCTCTTTACTTATCAAAATATGAATAACAGAATGCTGCTCCTCTTTGGTGAATGTCAAAAGTGGGTGGCTATCTTAAAACTCTCCTTATGACATAACCCTGTTAATCTGCACCGTGATGTCAGATGCTCTTGACATCCTTAGCAACAGTATGACAGGTTACAAGACAAAGTCATGGTTATTGTAATTTCTATAACACCTTTACAGTTTTCATTTGAAACCACCACTATTAGTGCTCATGTGATTTGTTGAGAATCTAACCAAGCAGAAACATAATATAAAAGCGTCACACAAATTATACTCTCAGGTTCTGCATGGGGTCTGTAAATAACATCTGGCAGTAAAACTCACTAAGCAGCTTCATCTAAAAAATTATATGTTGTGCCATTAATGCTCATTATTCATACGACCTTCAGAATTACTGATCAGATTAGAGTTTTTATCTTGTCCCTTTAAGAACTGCTCAGTCTGAACACGTTCATGAAGCCACAAATGAAAAGACTGAATGTTTTAAAACTCTGGCTAATGGCTAAAAGAATATCACCTGCAACTCAAACATACACTAATAACATTAAGTTATGTCTTTGTTATTTCTGCCACAAACTGGGGGACTTACTGAAGTTGGGATCCGAGAGCTCATGGACTTGTCCAATGTGTAATGAGGATATTATGTTTATTAACTAACTAACTAGCTAGCTAGCTAACTAACTGACCTAACTAACTAACTAACTAACCTAACTAACTGATTAACTTCCCCGTGTGGGCCCAAAGGTCGCATTGTCAGGAAAACAAGAATAGACCCACTGCCTACCAAAAAGCATATGGTAAGAGTTGACTAACTGCGAGCTTCCTTCGAAGTACATCTGTTTGAGAGGCAAGGAACTAACAGTCTGCATGCAGATGAGTCAGATCTATGAAACACATGTGCAGGCAACACTCAGTTTCTAGAACAGGACTAGAGTCCACAAATGGACAAACAACCAGAACCTTCCGCTGGAGTTTACAGCTGGTGAATGCGAAGACGTAGAAGACTGACGGACTGACTGACTGACTAACTAACTAAATAATCTTGCCCCATCCATATTGCTAAGTCACGCAGGTATTCATGTCTTTGCCTTCCTCTTACTCTTTTTCCACCAATCATTACTATGTTTTCTAGTACATTCTTTCTCTTAGCACATTTGATAAAGAACAAATGAATGTCTCTAATTTTTCTGATTATGTTTTTTTATCTGCCTCAAGGAGGACCGCATCAATTGTTTTTTTTTCTGTAATTCCATGACAATCTTTGAATTCTTCTGAAAAACATGTCTGCACTGTGAGTAACTACTTTTAACTTATTATTCATGCCTCGCATATAGCAATACAGGTATTTTTTTAGAGCTTTAACACTTTTTCCGCCATTGCAGTTGACAGCTAGGTAAGGAAAAATTTAGTGTTTCAGGGGCCAATTATTTAATGTGACAATAAAGGCACTTAACATGTACAAGTGGGAGGACAGCAACAGACACATTTAGGACTTGGATTATGGAATGTTCATGTTACCTTCTGGGTGCAGAAAGCCTGTATGGCCAACAGTTCATTTGTCCTCTGTTCAATAATGCCTAGATACTGAATCATGTTAGTGTCCGTGATGCCAGAGGATGCGCCCAGCATGTTGTCAATAGCAGATCTGTCACAGTTGGTTTTGTTGAACACGGACTCAATTCCTACCAACAGAAAAATTCGTTTTCTTGTTTTCAAGAGTCTATTCTGCATTTTTTGTCTTAAAAATTTTCCAGTTTGTATACAACAAGTTGAGACAGTTCCTAAGCATGTATGGAACACGCAAGTAGTAAGTTCACAAAGACTGTATCTAAAATTGTTTTATTTAACTCTTTGAGTCCCAAGGAACGCATGATACGTTCATAGGTTACTGCCTAGAAGCCCAATGAACGCATAATGCGCTGATTTTACGTCTCTCTTGACTACCCCTTGGGCCTGTGATGCTAAACACCTCTGGGACTCAAAGAGTTAACTGTATTTTGAGTTTACTAAAAATTTACTTTGAAGCTCAAACCTGTTAACCTAGTGACCTAGAAAAAAACAATACCTATGAGCTCATAATTAGAAAATTCTATAAAAAAATATACTTTTTTGAAAGAACTTACCCATTTTAGATCACCCACAGATTTCACACATATGCGCCCGGGTACGCATGCATGCACACACACACACACATACTTAAATCATAAAAATTCCATATATCGACCAAAACATTATTAACTCTTTGAGTCCCAAGGAACGCATCATACGTTCATGGCTTCCTACCTAGAAGCCCAATGAACGCATGATGCGCCGATTGTATGACTTTATTTACTACCCCCTGGTCCTGTGATGATAAACCCCTGGGACTCAAAGAGTTAAATTCCTTACATGAGGAGTCAGCAGTAAACATTCATGCAGCAGAGAATTTACTGGGTCACATTTGTGAGAGTGGAAAAAAAAAATATTTATGGTGACTCATTTTGACCGTGTGATCTGGTTGCAGGTTAAAACCGACCAATGGAGAAATTAGAACATCCTAATTTTGATTAATAACACTCTTTTTTTTTTTAAGAATAGGAAAACTCCTCTAAATGCTTTTTTAGTGAAAGTAGTCATTTCTGACCCTTCTACATACGCAAGCAATAATAGTGCTTTTAGCTAGGCATCTCGTTAACAGGCCAAAATAGCCAAGTTAAAAAAATTACTCTCTCTGAGAGCTGGACCCAGTCAAAAGTGTCAGTTTTGTGGCTTCTAGATGCGACATGGATAAAATAGCAAATAAATGAACATATTGATGCCGTATGTCGGATGTGGTCAGTAGAGCATATAGTTGGACAGTACATACTTCTGCTACCCATAATGCTTCACATCAGAAATGGGATCACAGCTTTAAACAAGACACCTATTGATAATGTATGAGAATGACAGTTGATAAATGTATAAGAAAACTATAGTATTAATCACATACAAACACAGGTGATTTATTCTGACATTTACCTTACAAAATCAGTTGTTTGTGGCTTAAGACCTGCAAATATAATTTTTAATTCCAAGGTGCTAGGTAGATTCCAGCTATGGGAGACTTGGCAGCAGAAGTCTTTCACTGGAAAACTTCTTCTTTACGACTTCTTTTACCGCTTCGGGTAAGGAGGGAGATATAAGGTCCTGCTTCGTGCTTTTCTGTCTGCTTCAACAAAAGACACATCGTGGGGTTTTAGAGTTTCTCTAAATTATATTCTTCCATATTGTTTTTGGTCTACCTCTTGCTTTACGTCCCTCTCCTCTTTTGGCATTCTCTCCAGGTGGGCAAACCATTTGATATGCTGTCTTTCTATGTAATTTAGAATTGGTTCTGGGCTGACTATATCTCGTATGATCTCATTCCAGATTTTATCTCTTCTGGTCACTCCTACAGCACCTCATTTCCATGGTTACTAATTTTCTTTTATGTTTTGCTGTGAGTGACCACGTCTTGCACTGGTAGCATGGGGTGGGAATGAATATGCTTTGTATGAGATGTCTCTTTGTGCTGATTGGGACTGTCTTATGCTGTAAGAGGAAAACTAGCTGTCCGAATACTTGGCCAGCTTTACTGCACCGAATGTCAATTTCTTCATCTAATTTACCATCTTCACTGTAAAACTTCTGAAGGTAAAACTGACTAATGAAATTGCAAAAAAAAAAAATTTTTAAAGTACTGGGGTTGGTTCTGCTGAGTCATGTAAATGATACGAAACTAAATTTCAGTTTTTTTAAAAACAATAATTATTTTAAATATACCATGCAAGCCTGACCTGATTTCAACTGATCCAAAATCTTCATCACTTCCTTGTGTTTCTGAGTGTATTCATGTGCTTCACGGGTAGCTTTGCTTTGCCTTTCTTCCAGGCTTTTCAAGATTTGTTTTCGGTGAGACTCCAGTTCAATGCTCTGGCTCTTGAAGTTCTCAATTTCCTTCTCAATCTAAAAATGTTTGAGAAAAAAAGCTAAATATCTTTTATGAAATAAAATAAATAAGTTGCATTCAATAATTTAAATATTTGGGAGAAAATGAATTTGATAATATAATCTAAATATTTGAAAAAAGTAATCTATTTATATTTGATAAAATAATCTAATTTATATTTAATAAACTAATCTTTGCTGATAAAGATAATCTAAATGTGATTAATAAGCTGATTTAGTAAAATTTCCACTTACATATATATCTCCCGTGCACTTTTGGTACACCTCCCAATTACATATCTCCCTGGCTCTTTGAGTACAACTCCCACTTACATTTCTCCCTGGCTCTTTGAGTACAACTCCCACTTACATATCTCCCTGGTTCAGTGGGTACAGCTCCCACTTACATATCTTCCTGGCTCTTTGGGTACAACTCCCGCTGACATATCTCCCTGGCTCTTTGGATACAACTCCCGCTGACATATCTCCCTGGCTCTTTGGCTTCAACTCCCGCTGACATATCTCCCTGGCTCATTTGGAACAACTCTCAGTGACATGGAAACCACTACAAACATTCTCACAACAGACATGAAGAAACAACAAACATTGCCAACAAACAAGTGAATAAACTTACAGCAGAGATGTCCTCATTCAGTTTCTCAATCTCACTGTTCTGTTCATTCACATAGTTGAAGAGTGCAAAGTTCGTGTCCTCCACCTTGATAAACCGGTTGACTAGGACATCAATATCTTCTTCTCCTGTCAACTCTCTAATTCTGATAAAAGCTTCTTCATAAGTCTCCACAGAATCTTCTTGACTATCCTTCTTTTTCTCCATTTCTAGGGCTTCTAGAAAATAGATCAACCAATTTAATGCGCGTTATATCAATACTGCTCATAAACTATTTAACAAAACACACACAAAACACACACATGCACACGTGTGAGCACACACACACACACACAATGTTCCTATACATCAGTGGTTCCCCACCTTTCTAATGCCATCACCCTATAATACAGTTCCTCATATTGCGGTCATCCCCAACCATAAAATTATTTTAGTTGCTTCATAACTTCAGTAAATATATGTTTTTCTATGGTCTTAGGCGACCCCTAAGGTGAAAGGGTTGATTGACCCCCAAAGGGGCCATGAGAACCGCCACTTTATATCTTTTTAATACATCCTTCACATGAAGTCATTAACCAATCCCAGGATTGTTTTTGGGTTGTTTGTGATTTTAAATAGGCAGTTCTATGTTCAGTAGTTTGCAGTTGCTTTCTGATCAGTTGGTGCTCCATACCACTGTCGATATAAGTGCAAAGCTGTTTGCTGCCGAATCGCACACTGGTGAAATCAAACAGTATTTCAGAATCATAAACAGCGTTCATGACTCATAAGCCACAGATACAGACAGTAGAAATTAATTAACCCAGTAAACAAATCAATCGGTCAGGTGTCTTGTCCATGAAGAATGCTGGCTGTAATGGATCTCTCTTCTTTGTTGTAAGGTATGTTGAACTATAGTACAAGCATGTTATAAGATTCAGCTAACTAGGGATGTCTCATTCACAGTCGTAGTGCATTTGCTTCAGAGGCAAGGAACCAAAACTCTGCATTATTAAAAATAAAAAAAGCCAGATTTGCCAAACAGATGTGCATGCAAAACTCAAGTTCTGGAACAAGACTAAAGCCCAGAAGTGAATGAAAAACCAGAATTTTCCACCAGAGCTTACAGCTGTGGAACGCGAAGAAGAAGAAGAATAAACTAGTATAACAGGTATGTTGCACAAATGAAAACATTACAATAACTTTATTATCATCACTAGTAAGTTGACATAAGATACCACTTTTGTGGTATAAATTTCTAGGTCAAGACATAATAAGGTGAGCTCCCTAACATTCATTAACATCAACTACTGCAGTGAAGAAGACCGAGTATTGGAATATCATACTATACAAGTCTTACACCAAAAGAGGAGAAGGACATAAGCAGGAGGTAGAACTATATGGAAGGATAACATCAGAGAAACTCTATAATAACATGATGTGTCTATGGCTAAGCCAGCAAGAAAACAGGACGTTATGTCTGCCTTGACACCTGATGTGATAAAGGAGGATGTGAAGAAGAATAAGAAGCCAGCTCATTTCCTCACCAAGTGCAAACTATTAAATGATATCAAAGTATCTACACCAAGGGACACAATCTGAAAAGATAAAACTGACTGCTGTACCTTTGCGCTGTCTCCAGGCAACCAACTGTGGGTCTTCCTGTCTGTCCTGACCTTTGATGCTCATAAATTCCTTCAGCTTACGATCGTGGTCAATGATGCGTACAAGTTCTTTCATCTCTGTGTTGTGTTGCTGGAGATCTTTGTCGGCCTTTTCTTGTAGCATAACCATCTTTGCCTGGGCATCATCGCTAGTGTCACAGATAGAAGTTGGAACATGACACAAGATAAAAAATTCACAAGGCATATTACATCTTGTTCTTTGTGTTGGGTTTTGTATGCTCAGTGATTGCTGGGTTATGTGCCACATCCCCTTTACTTCCTAGGACTCTACCTGGTACCCATTTAAAGGTGGGCTGACCTGGGACCTAAGGTCCTTTTTTGAAAACAAAAGTCCAGCTCCATCAGGACCTAAACCCACGACCTTTTGATCTGCAGGTGAGCAACTAGCTGCTACACCACGGCCAAATAGTAACTATCCAAAAAAGATCATATTGCTTAGCACTGATCCTTATCCACTAGGATTCTAGGGTACTGTAGCTATTACAGAGACCCTAATGATGCCCTCTTAGGAAGTTGATGAGAATGTCTGGGCTTTGCCCTGTTGGACTGCCACCTCACGGTGTGGGTTCTGGGGCCCCATTTAGTGGGAAACAAGAATAGACCCTCTGCTACCCGTAACAAGCATGATGTAAAAGTCAAGTAATTAGGGGTGTTTCCCTCGAAGTTGGAGTGCATCTGTCTGAGAGACAAGGAACCAACAGTCTGCATATATTTATGAGCCAGATCTGTAAACAAAATTTGACTGCAAAAGGCAAATTCTGGGACAATAATAAAGTCTAGAAGTGGATGAGCAACCAGAACTTTCCGCTGCAGTTCATAGCTAGTGAACACAAAAAAGAAGCAATTAAAGATTAAGGACAAGAAAAAGAAAAGGACTGCCAACCAGAAGGGACTCGTTATTTTGCAATAGTGGTGAATTCCTCAGGTAGCAGCATATATGGAAAATACAGACAGATGTTTGCATAGAAACCAAGAAACTGTCATCAGTTGAATCAAATAGTTTGGTAGCTGCAGTAGAATGAGTCCAGACAAGGCAGACATATTACCAAAAAAAAAGTATTATTACAGTGCAATCAGCAGCGGCACCACGACCATCATCGTTATCAACATCACCATCATCATCATTAAACTGACCAGTATCATTATCACTATTATCTTCATTTAATGTCTTAGTGATTGGGTAATCAGGCTTCTCTGCGTCTGGTGGCCTTCAATAAAAGATGAGTGAAATTTAAAATATATTTGCTCTTTTTGTGTGTACAGAGTGCAGGACAGGTTGTTTATTTAACCTCTGAACAATAAACATCTTTACCAAATCTCTAGTAGCCACCTTTGCTGTTCCATATGCTGAAAACCACCATTCTCCGATCAGATTCCAATACACCATTTCACCGTAACAGGATTCTGATGCACCTCTGTAGTACAAGGGTCCTGATATACCTTTATTGTACCTGTGTTCTCACACATCTTTGTTGTATCAGAGTCCTAATATACCTTTGTTGTACCTGTGTTCTGACACATCTTTGTTGTACTAGGGTCCTGATATACCTTTGTTGTACCTGTGTTCTGATACATCTTTGTTGTACTAGGGTCCTGATATACCTTTGTTGAACTAGGGTCCTGATATACCTTTGTTGAACTAGGGTCCTAATATACCTTTGTTGCACCTGGGTTCTGACACATCTTTTTTGTACTAGGGTCCTGATATACCTTTGTTGTACCTGTGTTTTGACACACCTTTGTTGTATCAGAGTCCTAATATACCTTTGTTGTACCTGTGTTCTGACACATCTTTGTTGTACCAGAGTCCTAATATACCTTTGTTGTACCTGTGTTCTGACACATCTGTGTTCTATCAAGGTTCTGTCTGACATCTTTGTTGTACTAGGGTCCTGATATACCTTTGTTGTACCTGTGTTCTGACACATCTTTGTTGTATCAGAGTCCTAATATACCTTTGTTGTACCTGTGTTCTCACACATCTTTGTTGTACTAGGGTCCTGATATACCTTTGTTGTACCTGTGTTCTGACACATCTGTGTTCTATCAAGGTTCTGTCTGACATCTTTGTTGTTGAAGGGTTCTAATATACATCTATTCAGGTTCTGATTCACCTGTGTTTTATCCAGGTTATGACATACTTGTGTTTTACCAGGTTCTGTCATAAACCACTGTCATATTACAATACTTCTTTTTGAAAACATAAATGAACTTAAGTGAATACAAACCGAGCATCGTAAGCAGCAGTTGATGCCTCTATAACTTCTGCCATTTCTTTCCTTAAATTCTTCAACTCCTTCTCCAACTTTTTGTACAGTGTTTCAAATTTTCTGTGCTCATTGCGGTGACCTTCAATTTCATCTCGAAGCTTTGCATTGTAACTTAGGCAGCTATTGAATTTTTTCTTGGCCTGTCAAACAGAAACAGGCACATTTCATTATTCTTTAATGAAAAAAAACTAAGTTAAAGTGCAGGTATATCTAACAATTAAAAAAAAAACATTTTTTGTAAGGAAATCAAAATAGATAAACGTACAACACATATAGTAACAACAGCTACAGTCACAGGACTAATATGATAACTGCCAAGAATATAAGCAATAGCAAACTATTTTCTTCAAGTTGCCAACAAAGTCACAGTTTTGTAGTTTACAAATCAGAGTGGTTTTTTTTTATCTGACATATTGTCAAAAGGAACAGATATGAGCACTTGGTGGCAGTTTGCAAACTGATGTGAAAAGAGCAAAGAGAAGGAAACAAGACACATATGTGGATGGCTATCAATATGGAATGAATGAGACAAGAACACTGACCTTATCCATGTTTCTGGTAATGGTGTGACAGTATAAAACATGACAGCCTATGCTTTTTGGCATGGAACATGATAATACCAAATAAAAGATTTCAAAATAATGAAAAGAATTGATTTTGTGCAGTATCTTTTCATGAAGTATTTTCCTATCAAAGGAAACTTGGATCAGATTTAGTAATATTGTGACTCTAATTCTCTAAGTTGATGACAAGCTGAATGCCATGGGTGTGAAAGCAGTAAAGTTTCAGGAGTAATCCATGTGTGACTTGCTAGTTTGAGATTTGAACAGAATGTTAGAACACACACACAAATACATACACACATTACATTCATGCATGCACCCACATATGTGCACCAGCACACAATCACACACACACCGATATATAAACAAACACATATATACATACAGAGGGATAGAGAGAGATTAGCTGTCTTCCCATATTGTGCACATATTGCCAAATCAACCTAATCTTTCATCACATATTTTTGCAAACTTTAATCTTACGTCCTTTGAGGACCTGTAGACAACTTATCACAAACATCCGAAAGTGACAGTCATTAATTTTTTGGGTCTCACTGTGAGAAGACGGGAAACTCGAACATGTTGTGACCACTGGAAAGATTTGTAGAAAAAGAGCAGAGGAATTCAACATGAGATGATTCTTGATGGCCTTTCGTCATGAGATGGAGGGGTGTCAGCACATTAACTGATACACTCAGTGGAATATCAAAGATTTTGGTGAGGCATAATCACCCATGTGAGTTGGCAGGAAACTTAATAATGACTAATCTCATCTCCTACTCCCTGATCCTCAAGTAGGAGATATAATTTTTAGCTTTCTAACAAAGACATGAACAATATACAGGCCCATATGCATTGTATAAAAGAAACCACTGGAGACTGCTACAGTCAAAAACACATTCCTGGGGAAAACTGATGAACATTAATAGGATGAACTCATGAAGGCCGAAGACAACAGAAATATCTGCACAACAGCAGGTAAAACAGTTATAAGATACAGAAGATGTTGCTACATTGGGCCCATATTGAGAAGAAACGAGCAAAAAATCACCAACGGGCACACAAAAAAAGAAACAAATGGATTGAGGAAAAAGACATTGCAGAGAAAGCCTAAAATGAACATTGATGAGAGGTCACAGGTGCAGAACTGGATTCCATCCAGGATATCAAAAAGTTTGTGAAAAATAGCGGAAAGAAAGATTAGATTGCCTGTCCTGTGTGACAATTGAAGGCACAACATAAAGATTGGAAATTATAAACACTTTGCCCCTGCACTGCAAACTATTCAAACATATTTTTTTAAACCCACAAAAACATTACTTCCTGTAGGTGACTATATACTCATTTATGAAAATACTTGAACAAGCTTAAATCCAAGGAATTTTTCTGGTGGTACCAACAGTACCTCAGTATTCGCATCTTTTTTATTTTTAGGCATAATCTTTTTCAGTATTACTGTAATAGACAATTTGTGGTGAGTACTGTTAATTTTTTAAACAGTGTGGCGAGTATCAACACTGTTGGCAAAAATAAAAATACTATACCAGTTTGCTTTCAATAAGTCAAAATTACAACGAAAAAGGCAATAAGACTGAAATGAGAAAATCAAAAGTCACCAGGCCTTGTAAAAACACAGATAAACAGGTTTTTGAGATGACATCTGGGAGAACAACATGCTTACCAAGGACAGAAAATAAAAAAAGAGAGACAGGAGAAGATGTCAAAATATAAACACAGTAAGAATTAGATTTTATTTTACTAAATATAATCCTTAAAGAAAATACTGCCCGGAAACTTAACAAGGAAACAAATCTTTGACTTCATGAATCATGTGTACCTGGTCCAGACGATTTTCTAGAACACGCTGTGTATTCTGAGCCTGGGTTGTGTGTTTAGTGCCAGTTTGTGCTCCTCCCACGTTTTTGTGGTGTTCTTTGATTTTTCTTTCCCATTCTCTAATTTTAGCATCAAGTTCTTTTTGCATTTCTTCTTGTTCTTTCATTGCTTCCTCATGTTTATCTGTAATGTGAAATGACAAATTTACAATTAAATAATACATTTTATTTGCATTTTGTTATTTATTTTGGGCAGATATATTTTACATTGCAGCTTTTTTTTTTTTCCAAACAATATAAATTGGTTAGTGTTGCAAAAATGATTTTCTTACCATTTATTTTCATCAGCAAACTTTTCTTTGATATACGGTTACCATATTATATTGAACTGAATACAGGACATCCCATTAATATTTTAAGCTGAAATCAGGACATCTCAAGCAAGTTAGTTTAACTCCACCTTAATTTTTTTAGGTCACCAGGGTAAAAGGGTTAAATACTTGCTTATCAATGCATTAAAATCTGAACCATTGTCTGCAAGAATTAAATAAAACAATGTGCTCTTGATCTGCACTGAGAAAAAAATTCTACAATAAAAATTTCAATCATCACATTGCCGTCATTAAAAGTATCTATGAGTAAAACTGGGAAATCTAATAATATCTACAAAATGATTCCTAGATTTGTATAAAATGGGACAGTTGGCATTTTTTGGGAGTACACATGGGACGGCCGGGACACAACTAAAAAAAAAAAAAGACTGTCCAGGTAAAAACGGGACTTATGGTCACTCTATTTTGATGTTATTCTTTGAAACAAAGATCAAGCCTCTTCCAACCTCAGTGAAGACAAAGCTGTGTGCTACATGGGGAGATATGGACTACACAAGAGCTTTCATCAAGACTGGTCTCTGGTATACATTTTCTGACAGAAGGATCAAAGAAGAAGAAGAAAACTCAACATTTTAAGGTGTTTCAAGGGGATGATCAATTTTAATGCACCAGGTATTATGCCATATGGAATGTTCTGATTCCTATTTCTTCATATTCACCCCATACATGTAACCATTCCCTCACACAAGAACCCATATCATCATCATCATTATGTAGTAGGCTCTTTGCAGAACATGGCTCTCATCACGGTCTGCTTGAAATAAATTCAGTCTCCCACCTCACGCTTTTCTACCCAAGTGTCACTTATATCGTGTACCCATCTTTGTGCAGGCTGGTCACTATGCCTTCTGTTACTAATTTTTCCAATCCACCGTGGCGCTTTATACGATTTAAATGTTTTAATTACTGAGACAAGATGCTTTTTACTAGTCAATCTTCCTTGATGTTCAGATCTTTTAGGATGTCTGTATGTCTTTTATTCTTGATCCATGGTACCTATAGCCTTTCAGATCAAAAGTCCTATTTTTATTTTTCCCTTAATAACTCCAAGATAGCCCATAATTCACATTGCATGTTGCTACAGGGAAAATGTATGCCCTAAACATTTGTACCTTGTTTCCTTGCTGGTGCTTAACCACAAACTTCTAAAGCTGCTTGTTTCTCACTAAGTCGTCCCCTTGTGGGATGCAGTATTTTGTTATTTGAAGCCCCACCCTGGCTTTTGCCGGGGTCCCTGAATATAGCCAGGGCATAGATATGTCCAGCCATAGATATGGCCTAACGGCTGGGATGTCTCCACGGGTGATCCTCATCCGCATGGTGGCACTTTGTGTCACCAGCTGTTTATCGCTTGTGTGATGTCCTGGTGGGGTACAACTACCTACCTACCTAATCCTGCTTGATCTTTGCATTGCTAGAGCCACTCTCCTTCTGACCACTGTTGAACTGTATCCACTGCTGTTTATTACAGAGCCTAGATATTCAAAGTTTGTGACATTTTCAATTTATTCATCATATACTGTTATTTTCATTACTAATATCTGTCCCAATATCTTCTCATCCATGTACAAATATTCCCATTCACCCACATATCCTTCTATTCTTCAGTATATTTTCCCATTCACCAACATATCCTTTCATTCTTCAGTATATTTTCCCATTCACCAACATATCCTTTCATTCTTCAGTATATTTTCCCATTCACCAACATATCCTTTCATTCTTCAGTATATTTTCCCATTCACCAACATATCCTTTCATTCTTCAGCATATTTTCCCATTCACCAACATATCCTTTCATTCTTCAGTATATTTTCCCATTCACCAACATATCCTTTCATTCTTCAGCATATTTTCCCATTCACCCACATATCCTTTCATTCTTCAGCATATTTTCCCATTCACCCACATATCCTTCTATTCTTCAGCATATTTTCCCATTCACCCACATATCCTCTTTTCTATGTGCACATCCTCTCTTTTACACACATATCCTCTTATTCACTCACACATTCATCACTTTACCTTTTGTCTCCAGTAAAGTAACCAAAGCTTCTTTATTCCCCTCGTCCTTGATCTGGTTGGATCTAGACTCTGCCAGCTTTAGCTCCTTCAGTAACTCAGACTTCTCTGCCACCAGTAACTTGATCTCCTGTCTTGAGATTTGCACAAGATCTCACTACATGATATCATCAAATACGTACAGACATTACAGTTTACTTTTCCTCCGTTACTTCTTCTTCTTCTGCCTTTATTCCCCAAGTGGAGCATAGGCCCTCAACTCATGCCAAGTCCTCCTGTCCTGTGCTGTTCCCATGTCCTGCCCCTCTTTTTAAGTTCACTCTCTGGCTCCCTTCTTCATGTGCTTTTTGATCCGTTTATTCTGGGAGGGGGGGGGGGAATAGACCCCTTATTCTCTAACAAGTAAACGTAAGAGGCAACTAATTAGAGGAGTTTCCCCCAAAGTCGGTGTGCATCTGCTTCAAAAGCAAGGAACTGACAGTCTGCATATAAATAAGCCAGTTCTAGAAAGCAAATGTGAACACAAAACTCAAGTTCTGGATCAAGGCCAAAGTCAGGAAGTAGAAGAACAGTTAGAACTTTTTCCTGGAGTTTACAGCTAGTGATAAAGAAGAAGAAGAAGAAGAAGAAGAAGAAGAAGAAGAAGAAGAAGAAGAAGAAGAAGAAGAAGAAGAAGAAGAAGAAGAAGAAGAAGAAGAAGAAGAAGAAGAAGAAGAAGCAGAAGAAGAAGCAGAAGAAGAAAAAGAAACAGTAGAAGAAGAAGAAGAAGGCAAGAAGAAGAAGAAGAAAAAGAAGAAGAAAAAAGGAGCAGCAGCAGCAGGAGAAGGAGAAGGAAGAGAAAAAGAAGAGGAAGAAGAAGAAGAAACTGTTTCTCACTCACTTCTGCTTGCGAATCACATTCTGGGATTCCTCTGTGTACATAGCCCTCTCTCCTTCCATCATACGAAAACTTCTCTGTAGGTTGACTAGCTCCTGCTCTTGTAGTCCCTCCATGTCAGCATCACTGACATCTGACTGTGCCGATCGTGGATGTGGCATTTTCAGTTTCAGTGGCGATCTTGTCAGAGACAAGTGATACAGTTAGAATTATATATTTCTAGCAGCTGATGCTAATAATTACTTAAAAATGTTGATTTAAAAAATATTATTTTTTTTATTTGAGAATACACAATCTAAGTTAAATATTAAAAAAGTTCAAATGGCTATTATTCTTTAGAGTTGAGCTGGGATTCAAAAATCGACATGGTAGCACTCAGCGCATTCTCATATGTGCTCTGTCCCCATCTTCAGTGGCCGACAAAGAGTCCCAACACTGATGGTACCAGAAGCAGTGTGATTGTATGTTTGTCTTGCCTTTCTTTACCCATTTAAAACAACACGGTAAACAAGTAAATACTTAGTGCAGCATTATAACTACTTTAATAATAACCTGTTAGGAGACACACTGATTTATTTGGGATTCGTAAACCAAACATTTGACTTTTATCAGACTTTTAAGATGTAGGATGTCAAATCTTCAAATAGTTTAAATATAGCATCATATGTCATATACCAAAAGAGGAGAGGGATGTAGAGCAAGAAGACCAAGAACAAGATGGGAAGATAACATAAGAAACTCTACAACACCACGATGTGTCTTTGGTCGAGTCAGCCAGAGGAGCACGAAGCAGGACCTTATTTCTCCCTCGACACCCAAAGCGGCAGTAAATAAAAGTAAAAATGGACGTGGAGAAGTGAAAAAGAAGCAGAAGATGCCCGCCTTGCGATTTTTTTTTAAATTCTACTGTTACTGCCGCAGAATAATAGAAGAATAAACATCTAAACACATTACCTAATGAGAATTTAAAAGTAAGAGCAATGACAACACTGTTCTGTGTTTAAGTTTACCAAATTATGTTCAATGGTTTATGCAAAACAAGAGTAAAGCAAAACATCAGTTGCCATAACAACAAGGACAGATAACTATCAATGCACGTATGCTATAGTAGGTTTTACAATACAAGAGAGCGTTATTTCAAATGGCCCCTTTCTGCTTCTTCTTCACTTAATCTTTTCCTACTTTGAGTGTGGAGGGAGTTATAAGGTTCTGCTTCTTGCTCTTCCAATGGCCTCCACCAAAGACCAATCGTTCTATAGCAGAGTTTTCTGGTGTTATGTTTTCATCTTTTTTTTTTGTTTTGATAGTCTTGTGCTCAGCGCTTTTTTTCTCTTTTGGTGAATACTTTGTACTGAAGTACAGAAATTTAAGTATCTGGGCACATGGATAACATCAGATGGAAGATGCATAACTGAGATAAGAAACAGAATAGGACAGACAAACACTGCATTTTATAAAATGAAGAACATCTTGTGCAATATATCCTTGTCATTGAGAATTAGATAAAGAATTCTTGCTTGCTACATACATCCAGTTTTAATATATGGCTGTGAATCCTGGACAATCGGTAGGCAGGCCAAACAACTTCTTGAGGCCTTGTGGAAAGAGGAGTGGAAGCAGACCAAGAGAGATGATGCTAGATGGGCTGAAACGATGGCATGCAGGGATATCATCAAGAGAGCTGTTCCAGGCAACCAGGGATTGTGATCTGTGGAGAGACATGAGCGCTTACGCCAGTTGGCAGGGCACGTGATAATGATACGACACTAAAATTCACACTGTAGCCTGTTTGCAAGCGATGTTCTTACTTCGTAACTTCGTCTCTGCAGTGAATTTCATTGACCTGTCAGCAGTCCTGCATCTAACCCTAACCCTGACCTTAACCGTAACCCTAAGCTTGACATGAACCCTGACCCTAACCCTGACCCTAACCCTGACCCTGACCCTAACCCTGACCCTAACCACCAAGTATACATATATGAAGGCTGACGCTCTTTTCCAGGGCCATCAGCTGTCGACATCCCAAGATTACCCTTTTCAGGACCCACCCCAAAGTATTCCTTTACGCATCGCACTGCCTACAGTCTGCCCAAAAACAATCCTTGTTCAAGCCGACTTTTACGAGTCACTAGGTGAATTACTGTGTGTTGTTGCGCACGTAAAAAAATCTCTTGTCAGTTGGAAATCGAAAAAAGTAGCCTAATGGCGCTGCCCGGGCACAATTTGGAGTTAAAAATCTACTTAACTATTTAAGGATCCTCACCGATGCTACGGAGTTCATGCACTGCGCTGAAATTCTTCGGATTTAGACTTGAGATAGAAGTAAAAGAGAGCAGTTATGGGTTACTACCATTGTGCCCTCATGTTGATCCGTTGTTTAAACCTAAACCTAAGAGAATACAGTGAGGTTCATACTAGAGACGACACTGCAGATAATCTACTTCGGACGAACGACAGAAGAATAAGACAAGGAAACTGACTCTAACCCCCCCCCCCCCCCTCTCTTTTACGTACTATATGACCTTCTAGGGAACCACCTAGGAATTCCCTGCCAAATCTTGCGACCGACGACATTGGTTGAAAAAGCTGAAAAGTACCAACATTTCTACTTACATGCCCCGAGATGTTTCCATAGTGAGGCGCACACTCCGTCTGGAGGTGACAGGTTCGATTCCCGGCAAGGTAACTACAGCTTTCGATTTTTATATTGTCAAATGTGTTCTTCTATCTGTCTACTTCTTTCTGTGAGTTCCGATCAATGCATTTTCTGATACTTTAATAATATATCGAGATAAATTAATGGGACGCATTTCTTTTTAAATTTGAAAACCCCACCTGTCGTCGGGGGCCATAATATAAGATTGAAAATATATAAAACCGAATGAAAAGTATATCAGCAAGCTTCACAATATAACAAACGTGAACGTTGCGGCTGTGGAGCCTTCATCAGCACATACATAAATCAAACAATACTACACAAATACACACAATCACTTAGCTTAGTATCTAATCTAATCTATCTCTTAGTACCTTATATAACCTAATGGCTGAAATGGGCTTCTGGTACTTGCTTCTGGGGGATTCTCGTCTGAATGGTGGCAAATTTCTTTATTTGTAAACGTAGAAACAGTCATAAAGAGATAAACACTGTTCTTTGGCCACATAATGAGAAGAGAGACACTGGAGAACATCGTGACAACTGGAAAGATCAGTGGAACAAGCGGTAGAGGCAGACCAAGAGATATGATGCTGGACAGACTGAAACGATGGTATGAAGGGATATCATCAAGAAAGCTGTTCCAGGCAACCAGGGATCGTCATCTGTAGAGACGCATGAGCGCCTACGCCAGTTCCCAGGGCACATGATGATGATGAGAAACAGTCTGTATTAATTCTGCGTAAAAATTATTGTAAATAGAAAAATATGCTTTAGTATTTATGACACGATTATAAGTAACGCAATCAACGAACCGAGAATATGAGGGGGAAAAGAAAATTCCTTAATGTTGGCAATGTTATACGCACCCTCCCCGTTTCGCCAAGTTAAACTTGCTCCCAAAATCGAACTGCTAAACCACGGATTAAGATTGTCCTATCCATTCGGTATAAATGTCTATCACACGAACTCATTTTGTATCTATTCTATAGGCTCCGTTATAATAAAAATAAAGGTTGTGTATCTGATACAGTCGTTGCTGCAATAACACCAAGGGCTTAATGTTAAACCACAAAAGACACTTGGATCTGTCATTTGAGGATATCCATGTAGACGTTTAGGGTTTGACTTGAGGCCTCCAGCGACTTGACACAATGTGGACAACTGTTCTGATTAGGTCGGGACCAGGCTAAGAGGATTTTCGTCTCTATCTTGTAGTTAATAACTGACGGTTTCGTAGCATGTATATTAGCCGATCTGCAATGTCTGTTCTCATTTTTGTAGCTTGTATGTTAACAGTTAAATAATGATTGTGTGATTCCTTTGCTTGTATGTTAACGGCTAAACAGTGATTGAATGATTCTTTAGCGTGTAGGTTTACGGTTAAAGAATGATTGTATGGTTTTCTTAGCTTGTACGTTAACGGTTAAACAGTGATTGTATAATTTCTTTAGTTTGTACGTTAACGGTTAAACAGTGATTGTATAATTTCTTTAGCTTGTACGTTAATGGTTAAACGGTAATTGTATAATTTCTTTAGCTTGTACGTCAACGGTTAAACAGTGATTGTATAATTTCTTTAGCTTGTACGTTAACGGTTAAACAGTGACTGTATGATTTCCTTAGCTTGTACGTTAACGGTTAAACAGTGACTGTATGATTTCCTTAGATTGTACGTTAACGGTTAAACAGTGATTGTATGATTTCGTTAGCTTGTCGGTTAACGGTTAAACAGCGATTGTATGATTTACTTAGCTTGTAGGTTAACGGTTAAACAATGATTGTATGATTTTCTTAGCTTGTAGGTTAACGGTTAAACAATGATTGTGTGATTTCCTTAGCTTGTAGGTTAACGGTTAAACAATGATTGTGTGATTTCCTTAGTTACGGTTTGTAGGTTAACAGGTTAAACAATGATCGTATCATTTCCTGAGCTGTAGGTTAACGGTTTAAACAATGATTGTGTGATTTCCTTAGCTTGTAGGTTAACGGTTAAACAATGATTGTGTGATTTCCTTAGCTTGTAGGTTAACGGTTAAACAATGATTGTATGATTTCCTTAGCTTGTAGGTTAACGGTTAAACAATGATTGTATGATTTCCTTAGCTTGTAGGTTAACGGTTAAACAATGATTGTATGATTTCCTTAGCTTGTAGGTTAACGGTTAAACAATGATTGTATGATTTCCTTAGCTTGTAGGTTAACGGTTAAACAATGATTGTATGAATTCCTTAGCTTGTAGGTTAACGGTTGCATAATTACTTTTCTAAATTCCTCAGCCATACCATTAAACTGGCGCAAATCATTTCATCAGTGCCAGAGCTTGTACAGAAACTGTTGCAAAATTATTTTTCACAGCTTTTACATTAACTTTTAAACAGTTCATTTCCCCATGTGGGTTCCTGGGCCCTGTTATAGGGAAAACAAGAATAGACCCATTGCCTACCAAACAGCATGTCGTAAGAGTCAACTAATTGGGAACTTCCTTCGAAGTCGGAGTGATCT